TACGTCAGATCGCCATCCGGGCAGACTTGGACTCGAACTCGAGTCTCGACGGGCGATGCTGACGCGGACTCGCTCGGGCTGCGGGACTGCAAGTAATAGAAAACGCACGCGACGGCCCTATACCGCGACGGGGCACTAGTACTGGCACGATTTGCGGCTTTGTGGCCACTTACGCGAGCTGTGGAGGTGCGATGGCAAATTGGGTGGAGAAAACGCGCGACACTGGGCATCAGCCATGCGCCGGCCCTGTTGAAGACATCGCAGGCCCGTGTTCCGACCCATGGTCACGGTGCGTCCGTTCGACCGAGAGTCGGCCAGCCCGCCATCCGCGCAGCGGTCGCACGCGAAGATGCCGACTTGCTCGGGGCGTCGAACTGCAAATTGGGTGGAGAGCGCACGCGCGGGCCCTGCAGCAGCGCGGGGTCGCGTTTCGAGGAAACGGTATATAAGCGGGGACCGCACCCTCCAAAGCCGCATCGACTAAACCAAGTCTCATCGACCCCAAAAACTCATCGACTCACCAAAAAGACCCCCCGGCCCACCACAAAATGCTCGCTCTCTCCGCCGTGCTCATCGCGCTCTTGCTCGCCGCCAGCGGCGCCGCGCACCCGTTGGACGGTCGTCAACTCCGCCTCCCTGGTGAGCCCGACTTGGGCACGCGTCAGCTCCGCCTCCCGGGCGAGCCCGAACTGGGCGCTCGTCAGCTCCGCCTTCCTGGCGAGCCCGACTTGGGTACCCGCCAGCTGCGCCTCCCCGGCGAGCCCGAGTTGGGTACGCGTCAACTGCGCCTTCCTGGCGACCCCGACTTGGGTGCTCGTCAACTGCGCCTCCCGGGCGAGCCCGAACTGGGAGCTCGTCAACTCCGCCTCCCCGGCGAGCCCGAATTGGGCGCTCGTCAGCTGCGTCTCCCTGGGGAACCCGAATTGGGTTCTCGTCAGCTCCGCCTCCCGGGCGAGCCCGAACTGGGAGCTCGTCAACTTCGCCTCCCGGGCGAGCCTGAATTGGGCGCCCGTCAGCTCCGTCTCCCGGGCGACCCCGACTTGGGCACCCGTCAGCTCCGTCTCCCCGTCGAGCCCGCGCCGGGCACCCGCTCTAACGCGGCCGCGATTTAGCGTAGTACTTGTACAATTCTGTATTGAACTGCAGTTGAAATTGATTAAATTATGTGTGCTCTCTGCTCTGCGACCACTGAGTCTTGCAATGGTTCCGCGAGGGTGGCCGGTGCTCTGCACCCGCGCCGCCATTTTTCCCACGGCGCTCGTGTACCAGTCGCCCGCCGGGCTCTTCCTCGAGAACATCATGATCGCGGTCCGGCTTCCCCACCTCTGTCCTCTCGCTCAGCCTGCCCGCGCGCCAACGCGTCCTTCCGCGCAGTCCACATGTTCCCACATGCATCGTGCCTCACAAGTCGCGCCGGAGTCAAGGGTACCGCAGATCATCAGCTGATGACATCAAGTCACACATGTCACAAGTCACACATGTCACATAGGGTAGGGTGGGTTACCAGGGTAAAATTTCACTTTTGGACTTGTGTCTGGAGAAGGTTCATGGACATTTAGGAGGATTAGAAATGCACAGTTATATGTTTTTAAGGACTTGTTGCCAAAGAATCTGGAATGTTTAGGGGCCTATATCCCAATCGGGAGAGTTTGATGATAAGTACAGTGCTAAACAATAACATGTAAGCATGACATTTACATCTGCTTCTTTTCTTCCCATATGGTATTTCTTGAATGGCCCTGGCATAGAATCCAATGAGCCCAGTGCTGTGTCCTGTACAGACACTGATGACAAACAATTTCCTTTTTGGGAAGTCACATGGCTTAGTCATGCTTACGTCAATAGGGTAGGGAGGGCTGGCTTGTACTTTTTCGACCCGATGTCTAGGATTTTTTTTGCAAGGTATCCTTGGCCGGAGTCGGACTCCGGAGGCGGCCGGACGCGCTCGCCATCACCGCCGCATGCACCAACTCCACCGCGCGCACGGAAGAACCCGCGAGCGTCGTCCTCTGGCACGTCAACCCCTTCCACCCCGGCCGGCCCTCGTAGCGCGCGCGGCCCGCCTCCCCGGGGCCGGGCTGACTAACGGCCGCGCCGCGGTGCCCGGCATGCCGCTCGTGCTCGCCGCGGACTCCGCGGGCGGCGCCGTGTGTGCCGTGCACATGCGCACCGGCGCCCGCCTCCTTGCCCGTGCGCTCAACGGGCTGCACGTGCATGGCGGGTTCCTGTACGTCGTCAGCTCGGTGCGGGGCACGCGCCGCTGACTGCTCATCGCAACGAATCAGTCTCTGTCACGCGCCCGTTCGAGGACTAACGCACACTCAGGCTCGTTCGACAACTTCACGCTGGGTGCCTGCGGCCGCGTGCATACTGTGCATCAACTGTGTATTACTGTCCAAATTGTGCATTGATTGTGCATTCAAGGCTTGATTGTGCATTGACTGTGCAAACTGCGGATTTGACTGTGTGTGAAATCCATGCAGAAGCGCTAACACAGAATCCAACTGGGCCAAAAGACCACTATGACCAGATGCTGGTCATATGTGCTTCCACTATATATAGCTGGTCCACACATTTTGTATGCGTGTAACACTGTGCATGCAGGAACAATAGAGTTTAGTAATAAACTTTTGACATGAAATGACTTATTTCAATTGTTCTTGACTGTGCATTGACTGTTTCCTTACTCTGTAGTTATTACAGAAGCCTTAATCTAAGATTATACAGAGAAGCCTGGACTCACAGAGGCCTTACTCTGAGGTTATATGGAGAAAACCTTGGATCTGAGGTTATGCCAAGATTATGATTTCTATTTTCTTTTCACAGTAGCTTTACTGCTTTGTTCTTTCATCTTCTCTTATTCCAAAAGAAGACTCAATCAACTAACTTGGAGTATTATTTAATATTTGGGTGTTGTCACATGAACTGAACCCTAAAATCATTATCAATTGATAACACCAAATCATACACTCTATGCTACATATATTAATTATCAATTACCATGTATCTTGACTATGCATTTCGCTAACAGCTGTACACTAGAGAAGAAAGACTGCCTCATTGTAGCAAGAGGTGGCAATAGTATGTAAGTGGCTGTGGGAAGCAAGCAAACAAAGATAAGGTGTTAGGTGTCAGGGGAACCCCCACTTCGGCCTTTTTCGGCCGCACAATCACCAATCTGTCAAGACCCTCCCAACAATCACCTTAGAACAGAGCCTGCAATGCTGCCTAGGCCATCTGCACTCTATGTTGGCAGTTACAGATAGACAGTCTATAGTTGGCGGCCTAGCAGGCGTACCCTTAGAGTTTCTTCTTTTCGGATCCTCCCCTGCTAGGTCACTCCCTCTGTGAATCTCCTGTAGCTGAAAATGGCCTTGAGTTGAGCATTCTTTATATAATAAGTCTCTTAATCACTTGTGTTATATGGTTTACCTTATTCCATTCTAATACAGTCAACACTTGCTGTACTACCTGACTTACTCCAGATATAAGACCAATGGCTTCAAACCAAAACCATAATTTTGTTCTAATCAGCTGGTCAATACCAGAGTAGCTGTGTATATTTGGTGTAATATGCTGAATCCAGTATAAAACACAGTAGTTGAGATATGGGGGAATATGACCTTCAATATCCAAGTTCTGTTCCTGATTGGACTTATATGATGTCAAAATTTTACAAATATTAAACTTGAGCTCTGTTTGCAATACTTGAACAATCTGCTCAAGAATGTAGGTTTCAGCTTTTACTGAACTGCAACTAAGGTCTGGATTCTGCAGTGCCATAGATGGCTGCTTGATAAACTGCTTGAATGACAAATGATAAATCTGCACAAGGCCAGTGGTGTCATCTAGAGCTGGAACAGATATCACTGCACTTAATCTCATTAGAAGCTTATGCAGTTTTTCCTTGTTCATATCAAGTAACCTGGCAAGGTCACTCAGTCCAAGAGGCTCGAAAAGGTTGAGCACTACATATAATATATAGAGCTGTTGTTGATATTGGTCTTTTCTCCATTGCTCAGCTGTTCCTTTTGGCTGTCGAATAGCAGCCAGGACCACACTATAATAAAGTGCATGCAGATCTTCATATCCTGTTTTTAGGGCTTGAAGATATTCTGCTTGCTCATCCCAGCTATTTCCACTATCAGGTTCATCAATATACCTAACAGAGGTAGCAGCATATATAAATAGACCAGCAGTATGATCTAAGATATAGCTGATTGCAGCTAATCCCTTTGACTTGTCAAACCAGTTCGGTGAGTCTATGGGCAATGAGTGATAAAGATATCTCTCAATATCTCTCTTTACAATATGCTGCTGTAGTTGGTCCAGCTTAATCTCAAATGCAAATTCCTGAAGAGGACCATTCATAATTTTGGCAGGCACTTGTGGTCTACCAGTTAGAAGAAACCGAACATATGGAGGTATTTTATCTCTTGCAGCTGTTAACCAAGATACCACAATTTGTCCTTGGTCCTGTCCACACTCATCAAGAGCATCAAGACAAATAATCCAGAATGGCTGCACTGGTTGAGCTATCTGCAGCTGGCTTAGAATCTGTACAACAAGTTTATTGAACTGGTTTAGAGGATCTTCATTTAGAACCTGAAATTGATCTTGATTCAGTGAGTCTACCAGCAGCCTTTTAAAGTCTAAGTTGTATCTTGCTAGTTGATAGGCCAGAGCAATAGGTAGACCCTTATGGTCACTACGTCCAGCAAATCGATAGGAGAAGAAAAAAGATGCAGCAAGAGCATTATGCTCTTCTGCCAGTTTTATTGCCACACTTTTGGCAATTGTGGACTTCCCACACCCTGCAGACCCAGTAAGAAATATAATCTTGCTTGGATATTGCTGCTCTGTCAGTCGATCAATGATCTCTTTGATAACCTCAACTCGGGTTTCTGCTAAACAAGAATTAGGTGTATTGTCAGCATTATATTGAGCCGCAATATAGCTCTGATCTAGCTTGTCCAAGGCCTGGTTCATTTTGGCTTAGTTTAATAATGAGCATATATATCTTTGCACAGACTATAGACTTCCTTACTCTCCGTGTCAATTTTGTATATCAGCTTAGTTAATGCTATAACATTTCCATTCTGTATCTTAATGGTATCACATTTCCTTGTTACTAAAATAAGTACATACCATAAATTGTAGGAGTTCAGTATAAAGGTTTTTCTTGATCCGTTTGATTTGGATTGAGATGCTTGAGCTTATTATTGTATATCTCTTCTTCTGGCTCTTCTGCAGGAGAACATCACACTCCTTGAGTGTAGGCTCTACTTTGCTGAATTCAGGTATTATCATTGCCAGCAAACCAAGACTAATAGCTCATACCTCTTAAGAAGAGAGACTGATTGTTGAAACTCTGCATCTGGTATCCCATCTGCCTGAATGCTGCACACTGCATTTAATTGGCTGATTAAAGCTGGTAGCTCCTCTTTGTTGTCCTCTGCAGTCTGTCGCACAGCTCAATAACTCTGCATACACTTCTAGACAGTGCACACCTACCGAAACCAGATTCAACAGGCCCTCGGCTACCTTGAGACAGGCAGTAATTGCTCCACCTGCTACCGGAATTGCAGGTGTAACCTGGCTTGCTAGCCCAATGGCCTTGCTAACAACATCAAGGGTAGGTTGAGTGGGGGCCGACATCGTGGTGCTGGAGAAAGAGACGATGATTTTCTCATGGCTGTAACACCCGTGAGTCCGTGACTGTGATTATGATATTCTCCCGAGCGGAGGCCGAGCCTCTGACAGTTGCTGGAGACAACTTGACAGTTGCGTCCTTGTGATGCTGTGCGCGAAGCAAACAGCTGTTAAGCAGCCAATGTATGCAACAACAGCACTGCCAGTGTGACTCACTTGCACAGAGTCAACATCGCAAAGCCGGAACAAAAGATGCGAACACTGACAAGTGGTCCACTGGCAGTATCACAGTGCCAGTGTGTTTGATTGAAGCTCATTTGTCAGTGGTGGGACCCAGATGTGTACGCGCCATCGTTACTTACTGTCTAGGCGATCTAACGGTTTTTGCAGCCTGAGGATTGAAGGCACTGCCATGGTTTGTGCAAAGTGGAAAACATGTCGTTACACCGCGCACGCGAGACGTGTGGCTCCCCCACTGGTTGACGCCGGAATCATTGGCCAGCGTCAGGCGCAGAGCTTGACGGGGTGGTGTGCGGTCGAAGTACAACGAGACGAATTGAAGGATGGTTCCCAGTGTCTTTGGCAAGTCGCATACCCTCTAAGAGTCCTAGTCGCCTCCAGCTCTGAGTGTATAGTGATGTTACCGGATGGACTCGAGAATGGGTGATGCTTGGTTAAGACTTGAAAGTTAAAGCTGAGATCCCACTGAGCATCCATCGTACCTGCAACATACACTGGCACGCACACAACACACGCGAATTCCGAGCTTTTGCTCTGAACAGAATGAACACGGATTGTACTATCTCCGTGTCAAAGTTCATGATAGTTATTTTCCGAACAATAATACCAAGCAACTCGATAACATACAGATAATTTACACTTGAATCGTTAGATTATTGCGTACAACAGTCGTGAAAAATGTCGTTAATAGGTACAAAGTGCATGCATAGATGTTGGCGGTCGCTGGGTTCGAATCTATATACAAAGCGGCGTGGTGGGTGTCGTATCGTCGTGTCTCGTCTCGGGGATAAGTAGGGGCAAGTAGTCAATTCAGGAGGGTCGAATGTCGCTCTGGACGCGGTAGATGGTGAGGACGGCGACACGCCCATCGATAGCGATTCCGTGGTTAACGCCTAAGATCCGTTTAGCACTCAGGAACGAGTCAAAAGCTTACAGCCACATACCTTTCCTTCCAGGCTCCAACAGACCCCACTCCCATTGCACCTCCGCGCGCCACTGCAGGCGTTGTCCCCCGGTTCCTGGCCAGGGCCACCCTCGTTCCTCGACCTGGTTTCCATGCAGAGCGCGGAGAGCTTGTTCTCCAAGATGCTCGTATGGAACCCAAAAGCTTGCGTCGGAAGCGGAAGCAGCGAGGGCCTGTTCTACGAGCCAATCGCGGCCCAGATCATAGCCCCGCGCGACAATCGTGTGGTGGCGGGTGGAATCCTCTTCCTTCGAGGCACTGAAACGAGGGTAAGCGTTTGATGAATGCGGATTTGAGGCAAAGGAATGATGGGTCATCTGCCTATCCCGATATGTGTTGTCCAGACTGGCGTCTGCAGTGTCTCGACGCAGACAACAAGATCGGGCTGGCCTGCCACAAGAATGGAGCGGCACTCACCCGATGAACCAGGCGCCCGTATTTCCATCAGTCCCGTTCTGTTTCCACGCGCGAAAGTGCTGGCCACCGGCAAGACTCTCCCAGCAGGTGCCCCAGCGCGGCATCCGGTAGTGTTGGCGGAAGAGGAGCTCCTCTGATTTACGCCCGTTGCCGTCGCCCAGATTCGCAAGATGGAGATTCCCTGATTCGTCAGCTGGGCCGCAAAACAAGGGAAACGGTAGAACACACCAATATGCATGCCCATGCATTCCGGCGCATACCCGATGGAGCTGGCGTAGAGTGTGAAGCCCTCGTCGGTGAGCACGAATGGGTCGGAGGCGCCGGAGATGATTACGTTGAGTGGCTCGCCCCGCGTCTTGGTGGTGAACTGAGCAACAGACGGGGTTGAGAAGAGAAGACAGGAAAAGCGGGGGCTTTCAGGTTGGAGACGTACGTCAAGCATTTGGCCACCGCCTGGCCGGGGGTCAATCCAGCCGCGGCCAGCCTTCGCGAAGTCTGTTGTGTCACTGTCCGCCACGCCGAAGGGAGCCTGGGCCAAGGTGGGAGACGCGGTAACTTCTTGCATGACGAGGCCCAAAACGAGGAGCGCAGTCTCGCTCCATCGAGGCAGCATGGGGGGCGAGGCTCGGGCGGAAGGGGAATAAGAGAAAAGAGAGAAAGGCGAGAGAGACGGAGAAGGTCGTAAGCAAGATCGTTAAAGCGAGCGGGATGCCGCGAAGCGGCAATTGGTAGCCGCCCTTTTTTGGCAACTGTCATCAGCGGATGATGTCATGCACTGTCAGCACACGCTGGAACAGGCAAGTTCTCATTAAACGCGTTGACCGTGTGCGACTGAAACCGCGGGAGCATTTGACACTGAAAGCAGGACGCCGCCGCGAGCAGCGCAGCGCGGGACGCCGTCAGCGATTCCCGGTGGGTATCTGCCGCATGTACACCAAATTGATACGGTACATACCTAGTGGAGCAAGTTAAACGCCACTTCGGAGCGATGCCCGTGCTATCTATAAGTCAGCGGCAAGAGGCAATACTACCTCGAGTTGTTACACTGGATTATATTAGTCCAAGGTCGAGTTTCAATGGGCTCACTGGCAAGATTTCAATATATATGCGGGGGTATACCAGTGACTTCCATAAGACTTCTGGGACCTGATTATGACTGCCGTCATCGCAAACGTTAACTTGGGCCCTGGAGTGGCCGATTCCACTGAGTTACGGCGATCCAGAGCCTACTCAGCTGCGATCCGCGACCTAGACTTGCAGAAGCATGATGTTGCATCCTTTGGCGCGGACGCCGGAGCGGATGACATGCTTATGTCCGCGCAAGTCCGTCCGCCGGCGACTCATCTCGAGAATCGTGCAGTATGCTGCACCGCATCGGTGCCTATGTTTCCATCTGCAGTGCTGCTCCCAGATGCATCCGCAATTTGTGTGGCCTCGGCTACCGCCAATCTGCATGCACACACGGGTGTCGGGTCAGATGCACTGCTCACCGAGCATATGGCATACGCGACGCGTAATCTAATCTGATGCGCAAATCAAGAACCCTCCTGGTTTTTACTGCGGCTCCCACGTGATTCCGTACCCGTCTTCTCCGCCGATCTTCGGGGGTGCGTTCTATTTTACACATTTTTCTCGCGTCAACGCGTGGTCAACGTTAATGGCGAGTCTGGATGCCCGTCCTACATAACGTTGCTGCATATCATATCATATCAGACATGTTCTGGCCCCGTACTGGGATCTCAGACTCGTTTCTCCGTGGCGCCGCAGAACTCACATCCATGCGGACAATCTTCGGCTGTGCATTAAGCGTAATCTAATCTGATGCCATCACGCATATCACCATCAGTCCTCGGCCTCGGTTGGGCCTCGGGGAAAGTCGGAAGGCGGTGTAGCCGTATATTGGGGTTTGAAGGGGCTGGGACAGGCATCGACGTCAGTGTGGCGCAAGATTTCTGCAGGCGCTCGTGTCTTGTGAAATATTTATTGTTGTGGGTCCACGGCCAGTAATCATGTTCATCTTCCCGATTCAACGGCTCAGCTACATCTGAATCTATATATGCAGCAGAACACGTACATCGGCCAGAACCCCGATGCGGGGTGGCAGTCGACTAAGGCGGGATGACGGCGACGAACGCGGCATTCTGGCTGTCGCGCAAAGGTGAAAGGTCGGCGAAATTTTGGGGGCTATTGGGGGCGAACGAAATTTTTTTTTTTGTACTCGGATATTACGCGTTATCGCGCGGTGTACCTGAGCCAATCCAACGTGCGCCGCTTGGCGGTCCCTAGGGCAGTCCGCTCCTCGGGCCTGTTTGCGCTCCCATTTACCGGGCCAAGAAGCCTGCAGGCTAGCGACGTGGAACGTGTTAATTTTTACCGGCCCTCTTTTCTCCCCACGGGGTTCGCAATTGGACTACCACGACTTTCGTTATCGCAAAAATGGTGGCGATAGCGATGATGCCTTGATGACGATCCTATCTATCTATGCGACCTAGACTTTTTTTTTTCACATGTGAACTGCACTCGAGTTAGGAGTACTGTTCAAGAGGCTTGTAGCCTGCAACCAGCGTCGAAAACAAAGGAAATAAACACGTGTTTTCTGGGTATCTCGATCCAACTTCTCGAGGTCTCGCCCTGAATCGCCGTTGCTTCGTCCAAGAACATTTCACATGGCCGGCTTCCTCATGTTCGACGTCTGTCTCGCAGCCTTCGGGCCGGGGGATTCTATTGCCCGTGTGGGGAACGAAATTATCCTATCGGGTCGTTACGGGTGCCAAAAGCCAGATCGTGCCGGAGATGGGGTTGATCCATTGTGTCACCTTGCCTCTTTTTCACGAACCACCACCCACCTCTTTTTACACCGCCTTCCTCTCTTCCCGCCCCCACATAACCCGCCTTTTCTCACTCTTCCCCACACCCCCACGGGCGAGAGACACACACCAGCGACATGACTACACAAACGAATGGCAGTGCTGGCCATCCCAGGCCGTACAAGTGTCCATACCCCCTTTGTGGGCGCGCTTTCAGTCGGCTGGAGCACCAGGTGGGCCTCGTTCCTCTTTTCGCCTCCTTTACCTCCCCTTTCTTTGTTCTCGCCATGTTTGCTGACCGGGCTTTTCCTTCTCTGACTCCAGACCCGACATATACGGACGCACACGGGCGAGAAGCCTTTTGTGTGTACCTTCCCGCTCTGCGAGAAGCGTTTTTCGCGCTCGGACGAGCTGACACGACACTCGCGCATACACAGCAACGACCCCGCGCCCGCGAAGAAGAAGGCCAGGAGTAGGGCCAACAGCGACGACGAGGCGGACTACGCTAGGACGACAGCGAGGGGCACGGAAAGTGGCCACGAACACCGCTATGGAGACGGGTATAGGACGTCTAGCACGGCCTTTACCACTCTCTCGAGTGTGGCTATGGACGAGTTATATGCCCTCGAAAGGGAGGAGGCGCTGAGACGAGCAGAGTACGAGGCGAAACATGCTGCAGCCCTCCGGAGAGCAGAAAGCGAGACGACACACCACCATGACTACCAGCAACAGCAGCAACAACAACAACATCGACTATCCAATGCACGAGAGCGGGAAAAGACAAGCAAGAACCACCGTAGACTGAGCGGGCCTGCGTGGCAGATGACGCCAGCATCCAGAGACCCTCCCGTGTTGACTGTGCCCCCAACCCCAGCCCATTCGAGGTCCGCCTCCCATATCGCATCTCATCCATCATCGTCCATCAGTAATGAACGGGATCGAGATCGCCAAACAAGCGCTTCTCCCCAAAGCGAGGACTCGGAGCTGCCATTGACCATGCGCAGAGGGAATTGGCATCATCCTACGCCAAGTACTTCGCCTTTCCTTGGTCCACTCAGAACTCTTACTCTCCATTCCCGTGCCCCCAGCCCACCACCGCTCTCCTTAGAAACAACTCCTTCCGGGACCCCACACCCGCAGCATCTTGCGCATTCAGTCCGTCTGGCATTTGGAATGACCCCGATTCATAGCAATGCGTCACCGACGAGTAACTACCCGCCTCCGCCGTCATACCAACGCACGACATCTTGGCCATCATTCCCGCCTGTCTCCGCCATGTCCACGCCCACGTCCGCGTGCACAAGTACCGGCTGGAGTAGCGGGACTGGAAGCAATGGAGCGAGTAGCGCAAGCTCAAGCATGCCCAATTCGAGAAGCGCCAGTCCCCCAATACGGTTAGCTCCGCTGAAACGCGATGAGCCCTCAAGTCCGCCCAAAATCAAGAGTGATGGGGGTGACCGGCTAGTGCACAGGGTCGAGTTGCCTGGGTTCAGCGAGTTCGAGGCTGCTTCAAGAGGGGAGGTGTATTAGGTGCCCTTTCTTCGCTTCATTATTTTTCTTGATACTTTTGCCTGCTTGCTTTCGACTTCCCCCTCTCATCCTATCTCATGACACCCCACGGCCGGATCCCCTACGATACATACTCTTTCTTTTTTTCTTTATCTTGATGCAGCACATTCGACAACGACACACCTACATAATCCTTCCCCACTTTTTACCCGCGTTTCCGTCGCCGTTTCACTGCGTCCACGCCGCTATTCGCTTGCGCGGCCCACTCCCACTTTACTCTTTTTGCCCTAGATAGACCACACACACTCCACTCCGTTTTCTCATAGAAGCCCCCCTGGGCCAGTACGTATGTATATAGTATATAGACTCGAACGCATAGTTGCGATTCCATTGGCGAGCATTTTGTGCGGGCCAGCAGGTGAAGAAGCAGTGGCGTTGGCGACGGCGACGGGGGAGGCGGCGATGGGTATTGTTGGCCCCACCCAAGCCCTTCCCACCCCACGTTTCGGATTCCGAACGAGATGCGGGGCTCCATCGGTCAACTGCCACCGAGCCACAGTCCCAGCGCCACAAATAAATTGCAGCCAATTAATTGCAGCTTTTTCGTGCGCGCGGAGGTGATAGAGATTTTTATTTAGCTTCCTTTCTGGTGGCGCATCGCATCGCGAGTGCGACTGTCCGCGCCGAGCTGTCGGGGCTCGTGTGCCCGTGCTGCGATGGCGTAAGAGGACGACGTGGAGATGCGGATGCAGCTTTGCCTCTGCTTTTCTTGGCTGACGGGGAAGTGACGGGGTTACACGGTGATTAGATGCGCAGACGTGGGAGCGAATATTCGGCGACAAAACTTCGGAGGAATAAATATCGAATACAGGCTTGGGAGTCGCCTGTGGCTGATCGTGTGCCAGTGTCGATCCAGATCCTAGATGCGAATTGTTGAATTTAGATGTGCGTTCGAGGCAACATGAGGAGTTTAATAAGTTAATAACATCACCGGCGCCGGGCGGACACCAGCGCAGACTCGGAGACGAGGGAGCGCCGGAGAAGGGGCGAAGGCAAGTGAGAAGGTAGATTTTGCAGAGAAGCGTCGGCGTGACGCACAACGGGCGATCACGGGAGATAAGATAACGTCCAGCGCAAATGGACAAGCCATGTCGGTGTCACGGTCATCGAGCACACAAAGGGCGTCGGAGTAACATCGCGGGATTGCGATCGCCTCTTAGTTAGTAGTGGGCGATATCAAGGCGCTCAACGTGCTCAGGCTCTGTCCATCTATCGAGCAAGAAATCTTCTGGGGCAGGACGGAGCTGGAGAAGCGCGGGTAAGCTAAGTGGGTAGCTCGGAGAAAGCTCGAGCATGAGCATGAGCTCATTCGGATTTCGAACGCGGCGGTCCACTTCAAGTTGAGGCCACCCCAGAATTTTAGATGTTCGCTGGCTGGCAGGCATTTCGGTTGCCACTAGATGTCGCCACAGGCTTCTGAACTTCAGCGCGACGGCGAACACTGGGCAGTAGACAAAGATAAATATTTTGAACGACCTGGTCTACGGAGTTATCGATACGGCTTATAAGTTATCAGAGAAAATCCAGGCTCTGCTGGAGCTCGCGAAGTAGGCGTGTGTCCTCCGCTGACATGCCGCCCGAAAGCTGGACAAGGAGTTGCCTCAGCTTCAGTTCGTGTCGCAGACCACGCGAAACTGAGTTGGCGACACGGCGACGGAGGCCGTCCAAGAATGGGCGGAGAAGAAGCGGGGACAGCATGAGCAGGTTAAGAGATTCGAGATTCGGGAGGAAGTCGGCGCGGGCGAGGAGAGCGGCGAGGGCCTTCATCTCGCGACCAGTTGCCTTCAGCGATTTGACGGTCCAGTTTCGTACGGAGGTACGAAGGATGGGGGACCGGAAGACCTCTTCGAAATCCGTATAATATGAGTTTGTGAGCGATAGAGATGTCACGTTGGCCGAGGAGCGAAGGAGGCAGCCTGGAATTAAGACACCTGCGTCGTGATGATCGAAGTTTGCAAGCCCCAGGGTGGTCAGATGCGGGAGGGACAAATGGCGCAGGAGTGCACAGGTATCCGCACCGAGAAGATGCAAGGTCGTCAAAAGGCGCATTTCGATGATGTGCTGATTGGCATTCGCATCGTTTGAGAGGTAACTTTCGATGACAAGTTCTTCGAGAACTCGCAGATGGGGGAGTAGGAATAGGACTTGTCGGCATGATGTAGAGTGGAGGATGGTGAGTTTCTGCAGCTGGTGCACCGGGAAGCCAAGGTTGAGAACTAAGTTCGGGTAGCTGATAGCCAGTTCGCGGAGACGCGGTGCATTGGAGAATGTCTGATACACATGATACTGTGTCGAAGTATCGATGTCTAGAGTAAGCTTGGTCAGATTTGGGAGCTCTAATACTGTGTCGGGGGAACGGAGCCTGAAACTTCGGAAGTCGTGGCCATCCCTGTCCGCGTCAGATAGGTCGGCCTCTGTCCATTGGCGGCAAGAATCGAATAAGGCTGGAGGCAAGGAGCACTCCGCGCTGCCGCGTTCGTCGATGTAGACCACGATCGGAAGCCCTTGGGTGCGTTTCAAGAAGTGATAGAACAGCGGGTCATGATAGTTAGCAATCGGAGCCCGGAGGATATAGCAGGTCTTTGTCCAGAGGTGAGGGTCAGCAATGGCCACGCTCCGCCACATCTGACAGACCGCGGTGATGCTGAGGAGCGTTGCATTCACTTCTGATAGGATAGACGAGGACACCGTTTCGCGGAAGATGTGGCAAAGAACTTCGACGGGGAGTGTGTTGACCGGGTAAACAAGGCTCGAGAGCTTGACATGGATGGAGTTTCGACGGGATTTAAGCTGTAACAGCTGCTTTTCGAGTGTGCCAATCGTTTGGTCGATGATTCCTGCCTCTTTCCGAAGCGAATTTATCTCGGAAGGGCTGAGCGTGGGCTGAGCGACACCGTGCGGGAGCTGTCCGCTACTATGAGCAATGGTGGCCTCATATTCCCGCATGATCGATAGTTTCGGTGCGCAGATGGGATGTATTCCACGATTAGGACAGAATCGTGGTCGGCTTCAAGTTTAGAATATGTGTCACAACGAAAGACCTTCTTCTCTTGACCACCACCGCAAGCTAACATTCTTCACCCACGCTTTCATCTACTCTGTCCCCGACACCAAGCCGCAGAAGAACTCGCACAAAACATCCTCTATCCGTCAGTGAGTGTCCCATTCGAACACACCAAACAAATTTTCTGACTCGTTGGCAGGTACGAGGCGAAATGGGAGAAACGTTGACGCGCTCCAGCCACTCTCGTGCCCCCTCTTTGCGTGTGTAGAGATGAATGGTGTGTTTAACTGCCGGCTTCGTTCTCTCCCTTTGCTGATGGGCAGTCTTCGCAGTCAGTAGTTTTGAGACTGCAGCCACCTTGTGCTACAGCCGATCTCGAGCGGCGGCGCTATCCGTTGGAGCTGAAGTGGCATTGAACGCGTTGGATGGGTCTGGCTGACGGGCTGACGGTGTGTTGTTGTGGCTGTCTCTTTTTCGTCCCTCTAGCTGACAACTTCTTTCTTCAAGTTTGAGTCGACCGCCGCGTTTAGTGTTGTCAAAGAGCGTATTTTGGCTTCGCTGGTGTGTTTCCTGTGCCTGTAATCTGAGCCAGTACTAATGCCTTTTCCTGGCAGATGAAATCGATGCCTATGTCTTGCGAGACTCCCTACCGTCACTCAAACTTGCAACCTCCACACGTTTGGGACCTTCTTTCGAGTGCATGGCTTCAAAAGCGGTCCACATAAGTTGGTCCGCATTCAATGCTACCGCTATTCGCCATGTCCCGCATATCTCTTGATGGAGGAGCTCCCCCCATCTTCCCGCGCGCCGGATCGTCCAGCATGTCTTTGATTTGACAATTTGGCCGCGAATGGACGATTCAGATTCGATATTCTGCTTTGCCGCCGATTTGGTACTTCAGAGGGCTGTTTGCTCCTCGAACGTCCCCTCTGGTTCGCGTTATATGTCTCCGCTCATCTTCCAAATACTGAAATTTCTCTGTAGGGTCTTGACGATTATGATATCCAAGTTCCTAACCCACACGAACAACAATGTTGTGCGCTTTACGACACTCAGTTTTGAAGGGCACAAAAGGCGAAAATCCTCACCATCTGCAAGTCCCCTGGCATTCTCCCTTTCAGTTTTCACGATTCACTTCCTCCGAATCCGCATGAATGGGTCTCTTTCCCTCACTTTTTCCCGCCACGTCACACCCACGTTGCCCTCAAGCGATTTTTGCCTCTCCACATATCATCATATATCGCTCTTTCCACCGTATCTTCTGGTCAATGGCTATACTCCCGTCATGAAACATTTGTGTCATCCTCGAAATCGGACATTTCGGCACTCCTGGGGTCCGTTTTCGCTACCTACCGCATCTTCAGCAAAGTGGACCCGAGATCTCCGAGGCTTGCTGCTAGAGCTTCCCTAACTGTATTCAGTTCTTGAGGGCGACCTTCTGGTGCAACCACGGGTTCTCACTTTCCCATTTACGGGGTTCAAATGGTCTTCGCCCTCTTTCGGCCGATATCTGGGGGGATGGCTGGGGCACATTCTGGCTGGGACCCAGGGCACCGAAGAATGCTTAGCATTTTGAAGCTGTGGTACTACACAGTCTAGGTCGCAGATAATAATCGCGCGGAAGACGGACATTGACTTGCGAATGGACAATGTCTGTTTCTTTCTGACAATTGTGCTGCTAGCCCCATGAACGACTCTTCATATATCTTCTCTTTTTTACCACTTCGGATATGTTTACCTACTTCCTTACCGCCTTCTTTACCTACTCGCAATATTATTTAATCTACTTACCATGGACATCGTCACATGCTACTGCTGGTAGGTTCTTCATATACACGATCAATGTCTTCTCGTGAGTTACTTCCCGACCCACAAAAGTCGACACGTCGATGGTCATCGTGAAGGTTTTGCTCAGGGAACAAGCTGGAGTTGGAAAGCAGTGTAACTTGAATCCCTCGCCGCCTCCCCAGCTCCATAAGCTCATCCTTGATGTCCAGCTCTTCGTGACCACGCTGGCAGTGCATAGTGAGTGTTTGTAGTGTGGGCGGGCACGCGTGGAGGAACACCATGACGCCGGTGTTGCGCAAGTGTGTTGAAGTCACATGAAGATACAGATGAGCCAACTTCTCGGTGGCGCGCGTCTCGAAGAAGCTCACGTCCAACGGCCATTTGTGGCGGGGGTGCCCGGGCCAAGTGCATTGGCGGGCAATGATCCGCAAGACGGTCGGCGGCGGCAGCTCAAGCAGCACGGCCTGCATTGTCGCAGACCCAATCCTGTCCACGTCGAGTTCGGCGACCTGCTCGCCGGCCATCATGATGAAGAGTGGCATTCGAGAGTCGGATATCACGCGGCTGTCAACTTCCCACCTCCCAATCTTGACTGCACGCAGGACGGGCGTGATCAGCAGATGCAAGAGCGCATGAATATTCAAGGAGTTGTCGAGGCTTCTTGGTTCCCTGCGCATGCAGCCCACGAAAAACTCTTCTAGATGATCCAGCCTCAGGGGATTCGTATGCGTTAACTGGCCGGCGAGGGTGACCCCGATATGACAGTGAGTTAAGGAAGGACACCGGCGCAGGATTTTGTAAACGTCATCGAGGCTCAATCCTCCCTTGAGACTCGGAGGCACAGCGGCACTGGCAGCAGCTGGGTGGGCGATGAGACGAAGCTCCGATAATTGACCCCAGGGAAGTGGAATATCGAGTGGACTTGTGTATCCCATAATATTAATGGCGACCGATTTGAGATGAGGGTGCTGGAGAATGGTCGCTGTTTCGAAGACGCTACGCAAGGTGCCATAATCATGGTGGACAAAGGAAACGTGCCTCAAGGCCGGCATTTCGCTGGGCTGCTGGCAAAGGAGGCTGGCGAGCAAGGTTCTGTCGCAGCTATCGACAGCGAGACTCTGCATACGCCCCCGCAAGTCGAGGATTGCTCCGCAGATGCTTGCGTTGAGGGCATCCGCTTCCCGCACGAGGGACTCTGTGTCGGCATCGCTTTCCACTGGGCTCATTCTCATAATTTTTTTCATGTACGAGAAGTGGATCGGAGTCAACGCGGAGTATGCAAACCATCGAGCGAGCAACTCAGAGAACCGCGGGGCACCAGTTATCCCATTGGTCTTGTGGCAAGGATAGAATTCCGAGCCAACGTCGTCGGTGACGAGCAAACTATTCCATAAGAGCGGGGTAGCATGCGAAAGCTGGCGCCAATATCTGCACACCCGGCCGAAAAGCAACGGCGCTTCAGCAGCATCGAAAATGGGGTGGCGGTCTGTCGGCAAGCAGGCAAGGAAGATCTCTTAGGAGGTACGGGGGAAGACGGCGGATGGGTGCAAGGAGCGAGTTGTGGGAGAAGATGTATCGCCGTAGTGCATACCGCTGCTTTTGCAAGTCCTTCAGCAGTTGAGTGGTCCTGATAATGTCGGCGTCGATCAGCGTCAATTGAGCGCGAGGCTCGCGAAGCAAGGCGTCTATTGCGGAACGCTCCTCATCGCCGGGGACAGAAAAGCTGTCCAGTAGGTGTATAAACGGCGTTCGTGGAAAGGTCATTGTTTAAAAGGAAGGGGTGTCACCGGTGACTCGCCGAGTGACAGTCCGAGCTGACTCACATCAATCTTCCTCTTTCGTCTTCCAGTCACTGGTAGTCAGATACCATTCGTCAAGGACACGATCTTCACCATCCACACTTGTGCTGAAAGGTGCATGACACAGTGACTTTACAGCCCTTGCAAGCTTGTGATTGACATTACTTAACGGGAAAAGTACCATACAAGAGGCAATCTATGATCTCATGCCAAAAAAACTACGATGTGCCTAGGCCTTCTTTCGTGTGTCAACCATGACGACCTTCCCGTCGACGGTAGCGACATACAACACTCCTTCCAGTGCTTTGCGGCGCGCGAGCGCGACGGATGTCGGGACGACCAAAACGCCAGGCGGCACGACAGTCTCCTCCTTCCAGCTGCCTTTCTTCTGCGGAGTGAACACCGACAGCGAGCCCGGGTGGACCGTGACCCACACGCGGCCCGTGTCGTCGATGGCAAAGTCGTCGAAGCCGTACGAACCCTCCGGGACTGTCCCGATCACCGTGAACGGGCCAGTCAACGCGACGGAGCCGGGCCGGGTCGCAACTGGTGCGCGGAGGAGAGTGCCGCGGGCAGCGTTGGTCGCGTAGAGGTACTTGTCATGCACGTGAAGTCCGTTGATGCCGAGGTTGGCCTCAGGCGTGGGGAGAAGGAGCGCATCCTGCGTGAGGGTGCGGACGGCGCCGTTGCGCATGTTGATGGCATAGACAGCACCGAGAACGGACTCAGCCGCGAGGACGACCCCAGGGAGGCCGGGGACAGTGGAGAGGCCGTTGGTGAGGTGCGAGGCAGGGAGACGCGCAACACGTGCGACTTTGGGCGGGGTGCACGTGAGGTCGACGCGCCAGATGGCGACGCTACCGAGCTGGGCAGCGCGCTCGGCGGAGTCGATGACAGACACGACGACGGCGTACGTGTCGGGCGCGTACTCGGCGATGCCGGTTAGTGCGGTCCCGTTCGGGCCGGAGAAGGTGTGCACCGGAGTCAAAGTCGCGTTCTTCGCCTGGGGGTCGAGCGAGAAGAGGGTGGGGGACATGACGGAGGTGATGAGCAACTTGGAGTTGGGCCGGACGGCGATGTTCTCGAGGAGCAGTCCCGAGGGCGACTGGTACAGCACCGTCGTGGGGAACGCCGCGTAGGCAGAGGCAAGCAGCGCAAAAAAGAACAAACGCATGGCGGCTTTGCTGCCTGGGCTCAACAGACAGCGCCTATTTGAAGCTCGGACACACGCCCGTTCAACCGCAGCTGACGACCCAACCACCCGTAATGACCGCGCCCCGCGCATGGCTTTATAACGCGTCAGCTGCTGTCAAACAGCGACTGAGCGGGACTTCAGCCCACTCTCATCCGCGCACGTTCCGAGTGAGCATCACTTGACGTGGCCTTGACGCAGTCTTGGCGAAGATTGGACATCACCTATTAGTAAGTATAAATGATCGGAAAACCGTGACGGCTCCGCATGGGACGCTTGACGAACAAGATCGAGACTCGCAGCATGAGATGTGCAAACCCCATAAGCACTGATTCACATGGGCGGGAATTTTTTGGGACACCCTTTGCTCGTCACTGATTTTTTTTTTAGGACAGCTGACCAAGCTGCTCAATCTGAATGCTTCTATTTGGTGGGCGGAGTTTATATTATAGTGTATATTGTTGATGTTTCGGATTTAGATGACATGTTATTTATTACACTAAGACATGACAAGATGCTTTAAATTTTATTTTAGTCCAGGTCCCATTTTTGGAACATTCTTTGCCCTGGACACTCCCTATATACCATCTGTTAGAGATAACCCGCTTCCTTGCTGGCTTACACGAGAGCTGACCTGTAGATAGTCATAGTTTGTCCTCCTTGCACTATAGACGAAGTACAGAGGCAAACCGTAAAGACCGTTACCCGTTACCGCCCATTATCCACCCTGGCAACTAATAAATTCTTTGTTTAAACTCTTAAGAAGAAACTTTTGATTTTCATCAATGAACTAATTCTTTCTTTATGTGAAAACCTGGATATAAACCATTGATAGTTTTCCTTGTTATAAGGTTAATCTCAAAATCTCTTGTTTTCGCCACCTTTTCGCCACCTTTTCTCACCAATCTTGTGTGCCATATTGCCTATATATGTGCCAGTTACAATACCAATTTCCTTTCCTTTTCACTTTTCTCTTGTTGTTCTGTTATTATATATGCTCTGCTCACAAGATATCCCTGCTACATTGGCTCTGGCCTGAATGGTATCTGGATGGTCAGGCCCAAGCACACACATATACTGCTGAAGAATCTGTGCATAAAGCTCTTGGGCTTGTATATATTTGCCAAGCTGACTATATGTTGCTGCTAGATTAACCCTGGCCTTAATAGTATCTGGATGCTCAGACCCAAGCAGATAGGTGCACTTTGGGAGAACCTGTTCTTGAAGCTCTTGTGCTTGTGTATGTTTACCTAGCTGATAATAAGTTGCTGCCAGATTTGACAGAGCTAGAACAGTTTCTGGATGTTCAGATCCAAACAGATGAGTCCGCTGTTGCAGAACCCACTTCTCGAGCCTTTGTGCTTTTGTATATTTGCATAGCTGGCAATATGTGGCTGCTAGATTGGACTTGGCCTGAACAGTATCTGGATGTGAATGCCCTAGCCAAGTAGTACGCTGTTGCAAAACCTGCTCTTCAAGCTTTTGTGCTTTGGTATATTTGGCCAGGTGATGATATGTTAATGCTAGATTGGCTCTGGCCCAGATTGTATCTGAGTGTTCTGAGCCTAGCAAAGAGGTGCGCTGCTGTAGAACCTGTTCTTCAATTTCTTGTGCTTGGGCATATTTGCCTAGCCAACGATATGTTGCCGCCAGTGAAGCCTTGGCCCAAATAGTATGGGGGTGTTCAGATCCCAGAAGATAGGTACGCTGCTGCAGGACCTCTTGTTGAAAATCTTGTGCATAAGCATATTGGCCAAGCTCACAATATGTTTCTGCAAGCCAGGACCTTGCCCAAATGGTATCAGGGTGTTCAGACCCTAGAGTATAAATACACTGCTGTAGTACCTGTTCTTCAAGCTCTTGTGCTTGTCTATATTTTCCTAGCTCACAATATGTTGCTGCTAGGTTGGCCTTAGCCCAAACAGTGTCTGGATGTTCAGAGCCTAGCAGATGAGTCCACTGTTGCAGAACCTGTTCTTCAATCTCCCATGCTTGGATATATTTACCTAGTCGGTGATATGTTGCTGCAAGGTTAGCTCTAGCATGGACAGTATCTGGATCTTCCAACCCAAGCTGAGAGGTGCACTGCTGTAGCACCTGTTCTTCAAGCTCTTGTGCTTGTGTATATTTGCCTAGCTCACAATATGTTGCAGCCAGATTAACCTTGGCTTGAATTGTATCTGGATGCTCTGATCCCAGGAGATGGGCACACTGCTGCAGAACCTGTTCTTCAAGCTCTTCGGCTTGTATATACTTACCCATTTCATGATAAGCCCAACCCAGCCCCCATTTAGCCTATATTGTTTCCAAATGATTGAACCCCATTTCTATTTCTAGTCTCTGTACAAGTAGTTTTCCCAAGATTTCTGCATTGGCAGCAAAACCAGCCTGTATGTATATGGCTTGGCATGAGATCTGCATTGGCTTTGGTATCACCTCTGGTATTGAAATAGCATTTCTTAAATGCTGTGCCAATACTGGTTTGTCCTCTGCTTTCTGTGTCTCTGTAGCTGACATTCCTAACAGGTTTACTACCAATCCTGGATAATCCTGTGATGATGATACTAATACTAGCTTTGTCCACTCATGTACTAATGGGTGGATATAATAACCATCTTTCCTTAGAGTAATCAATGAGTAAGCTTCAATCTGTCTGAGTATATACGAGTTTGGTGGGAGTGGGACTCGCGCCAGTCCCACTCCCGGGGATGATTGACACCGGCTAAGGCGTTTTGGTGGGATTCGAGCGTTTAAAGTGGTGTTTGGTGGGACTTGACGGATCACCACAGTTGCTGAAATTTGAATGACTTTGATCGGGTTGCGGCGCCCGGCCGCGACGGCCGGGGTTTTTCACCCCGGACCCCAACCAGGGCGTTGCCCTGGACCCACCCTGCCGGGGGCTTCGCTCGCCGCGGGGCCCGCTGCGCGGAGCATTTAATATCTTTTTCTCACTTTTTCTCTATTTTTTGCATTTGAAAATAACATCTTTCACACTAGATTGCGGCGCCGGCCGCGGGCGGCCGGGGCTTTCCACCCCGGGCCCCGACCGGGGCTTCGCCCCAGACCCCACGCTGCCGCGGGCAGCCGCTCGCCGCGGAGGCCTGCTGCGCAGTGCCATGATTGATTACATCTGTCATTTATTGATTCACAATCAATCAAATGTGGGCTGAATCCCACTGGCGTGCACTCAGTCCCACAGATCAGGTGGGAGTGGGACTGGCACGAGTCCCACTCCCACCATTCTCGTGTACCCTCAATCTGTCTCATTGTTTTCTCAAACAGAAGCCCATCCCACTGCTTATCTTCATCGAGAAAGTGGGACAATAGCTTGATAGCCAGTGACAATGGCTTTGGTTTCTCCCCTGGCATCTCTAAGTTCTCCCACTCTGTCTCTTTCCAGTGATATCTTGATGCATTTTCAAAGAGGGCTCTGTAATTTGACTGTTATGTAGCAGGGAGCACACTTGCATGAGCTCTTGAGCAGTTGGAGGAAGATTATCAAAGCTAATTTTCCAAGTAGTATAGACTGTGTGCTTGTAGTTCCAAGCTTGCTGAGTAGGCTTCTCATCCCAGTATTTCTGCTTGTTCTTGTTATAAATTTCAAGGTATTTCCAAGGGTTCTGCTGCAACTTGGGAGAATGTGATATAAAGGCAGCAGCTTGTGCTAGTGCCAATGGGAAGCAGTGCATTTCCTCAGTCCTGTCATACTGAGCTTTTCATTATATTTGATATCATATAGTGCTTACCTTTGCAAGCTTCTCTGCTGCTTTTCTATTATTTATTTGTGCAATAGCACAGATAACATCAATTGCTTCATCCAGTGCCAAGTTAGATACATTGATTGACTTTTGGTTTGTATGCACACCCACTTCTGGATTTCGTGATGTGATGAGAATATTTCCATGATTACACTCTGGAAAGTGCTCCCAGAGATTGAGTGTGACATCATCAGCATTATCAAAGAGGATCAGCCATTCAGTAGTAGTCCCAATAAGCCATGTATATGCAGCTGCCTCTGTGACCTGTTGATTTTTTATCCTGGCAATTTCTCTGTATCCTGCCTGAATAGCATTTTTGTTGCTTGCATCAATTTTGAATTGGTCTGTGAACCTATACAGATATCAATACAGATATCTGTTACTCAAGGAAGTTGGACTTGACCTTTCACCTGAATCTGCAATAAATTTAAGTGCTGTTTGAGTTTTTCCTATCCCACCTAGACCATGCAATAGCACAATCCTTGGGCTTTTTATACTGGTGTCTCCAAAGAACTCTGTCAGTTTTGTCAAAATATCTTTGCAGCCCATAAAGCTATGAAAAGGATAGGAGCATCCATGATATGGCTCTGATACATATATTCTCTTAGTTAATAAGCCAGTATTACAGAGTAACTCACTATCTGTGCTTAGGCTTCTCCAATAACTTCAAGTTCCAGTCAATCATCTTGTTCATTGGTAGAGCAAAAGACCTACCCTGAAGGCAATCCAGAATAATATGTGTTGAAACTATCAGTAACAACAGGTCCTCCTCCACTCCCCCCATAGCCACCTTGGTAAGTTCCATCTCCACCTGTTCCCCCCTGACCACCTAGTTATAGATTATTATTTTAATACTTCAGCATAGTTTTGTATACCCCTAATATGAATGTTTGCATTGTTTAATGTGGAGCCCATTAGTCAAGGGATAGACTTGGAGAGTGGGTGGGACAAATGCAAGACTGCCGTGGCCAGAAACAGCATTCTTATACATTGCATGATACATTGGCATCTGCCATTCTTGATTGTTAAGAACATTTATTATAAGCAGGTATAATTATAAGCTTAAGAGAAGCTTGATCCATATCCCTGCTGCTTTATGCCCATTTTATAGCAGTGGGGCAGACTATTGTCTTGTCCCTGGAAATGGTCTCATACCAGTAGACACTCGGTACGAGCACACTGCTGTAGTATGGCCATACCACAATTCCAGGATTCCTGTGTATCAAAACAAAATTTAACAACTGAAATCACTTATCAGCATCTGTCCTTCTAAGTTCTTGATCTTCAAAGATATCAGATACATCATAAATAGGTGGAAGTTTCCAGAACCGGGTCTCTCTCCTACTTATAGTAGTATGTAGCAACTTGTTGAGTCTCTTCAAAAAACTTGCCCAGTTATTTGGCCATCAGAACAACCGCGATAACGATCGCCGCCGCGTCACGTGCACCTCGCTTGCCTCTTCCCTGACGATCGAATCCGATGCAGCAAGTAGAACGCGTGCCGCCGCTGCCCGCGCGCCTGGGGCTCGCGTGCTACAAGTGCTTCAAAGAAGAGGACGTTCAGGTGTCGAGATGCACGGGGTGTTTGCGTGTCGGGTACTGCAGTCGGGGTGCGTGCTTGGCCTGTTGCTTCGGGTGTCTTCTGACTTCCGGTAGAGTGCCAGAACGTATTCTCCCTCGTCTGGAGCCGGGAAATACACACTGATATCCACAGGCTGACTGGAAAACACACAAAGCTTTCTGCAAAGCAACGAAGGCGCTCGAGAATGACCGCGGGGCCGCGATGACACTACTCTTCCCTCTGGCCGATGCGCCGAGCACTAATCTCGACTACCTCCACAACGCGAGCGAGGCGCATGCGGCCAACGTGCAAGGTTTCGTGCAGCGGTCGATGGGCCGGGAGCTGAGTGTCCCGGAGCGCAATTTGGTCGGATGGGAGCCAAGATGCATGGCCTGGTGTGTTTCCTTCCCTCTTTCTGTCTCAAGCTAAGCAAGATGTTTTCAGCACGCGCACGGACCAGCTCATTCGCATCGAGTTCACCGCCCGGACACGAGCGAGCGGGGGCGCTTCATCGTCGTCTACGACAGCTAAGCCAAGGCAGCTAACGCCCTGTGTTGAATGCAATGCAAGCTTCTGCTGCTCTGTGGAGCACTGGACCGCCGCCAGGGCACTTCATCACGCGCCACTCCCCACCGAAGACGGGCACTCGCAGTGCGAGCTGAATAAGCTGGCCCGGGGCGATGCGATGCTGGAAGCGGCTCTGGCAGGGTCGCATGACGGCGTGTTCCGGTGGGCGCCGGAGCGGATAAAAGAGCGGTGGGAGTCGGTGGTGAGGAAGGAGGGACGCGGGAAAGAGAAGGGGTCGGGGAGGACACGGTGGGAGGACGAAATCGCGGATGAGATGCGCAAGGCGGTGGGTGTCCCGAGCGAGCGGCCTATGGGGCCGTGGGTAAGGATGGCGTCAGATGCGCTGTGCATGCCGATGACCATACTGTGGGGGCTGGAAACTCTGAACATCGACGACGAGTGGACAAGGAAGCATACGCTTACCATTCATGTATGTCTTCACAGTTTCTTTTAGTCTGCTAATTGTCTACAGATCCTAGGCGCAACGATGATCGAAGTAACCGCCGCAATGGTGTTTGAGGAGATCTTGCACCGGCTGCCAGAAGTGAAGACGCTGAAGCTGCTACTTTGCGGCCCGGAAATGCAGAGCGGTCGCGCGCCGAAGGTCTACCCGTTAGACACCTGCCCGTGCGTGCTCATAAGAAGGCCTTGCTCAATATTCATTTGATGATAGCGAGTGCGCTCGCCGCGAGCGTAAACGCGTGCACGAGCATACCGCAGAGTGCGCAACTCACATTTCAGCATCTAAACCTGAGCTTTCACAGCACATACCACGGCTACGTCGCGGCTCAAGGCTCCAAATACGAGAAACCGGACCTCGCGATCGCATTCAATGCCGGGGCATCGTCCGAGCCCTCGTCACGCGTAATGTGGGCGCCGACGATGAAGCTGCTTGTCGAGAAGAAGATCAAGACGGTGTTTACCGTGCGTCCTATATATTGTGGTCATTCGCAGAGCTGATACTGGCCAGTCGTACAACAGCGAGGAGGCACACGGCGACGCCGCCGCATTGCGCGCGGCAGGGGCAAAACTGGCCGTAGAGGCAGAGCGAAACGCGTGGGGGAGCGCAAAGCTGATACCCGAGCCTGCAAAGGTGTATGGGTTTTACAGCGCGAGTGGGTGGGTCTCTGGTGCGTTTTAAGACGTGTTTGTTTTGCTAGTATTATCCAGTTAATCCATATCTGGGAGATCATTGAACGGAATCTTGAATTTTGCAAGAGAGTTCCCAAAAACGCTCAAATCCCCACATTTAGTACTAGTAAAATAAGCATCCTGATGAGGTTATTGTGTTCATCAGGAAAATGACAAAAGGTCTAATGCAACTTATTTCACTTATATAAGGCCAAAAAGTTTCAATAAGGTATCATAAGATCCATAAGACTCATAAGATCTTATGCGTCTTATCTTAGCTAGGTCCGATTCTAATATAAGTTGAATAAGTTGAATAAGATGTCCTAAGACAAAAAATAAGATGCATAAAAGACAATTCATAAGTGCCCATAAGACACTATAAGGCTGCATTGACAGACCCTCAGAATGGACAGGAAGCAATAGAATAATCCAAATATATTGCAGCAGTACTACTTGAATACACGAAGCAATACAATATAATATCCCTTCATTCCAAACCTGGTGTTCGCCAGTCGGACCGTTCGCCAGGCGAACAAAACACGGACCGGGGCAACAACGAGTATGCACCAGCAAGATCATCTTACCGAGTAAGCTGGCCGTCAGAGGTTGAAGGTGCCGAATATGACCCTGACTATGCTGCTTATTCAGAATTCTGGACACAGAGGACGAACGGACCTACCAAACCCAAAGGCGGACCGCTGTCACACGCGTCAAGGACGGAGCAAATCGAGGCAACGATTCCGACAACGTTGGGCACTGGGGAGGAAGTAAGTCAACAAGCACCTTGAAGAAGTGGTTTACGCGATGGACATTAGAGCACGAATGTGTGGTTCTAGGACGTGGTTAGTCTAGCAGACAATCTGCACAGCGGCAAACTCACCTTGTGTTCGGAGCTGGACCACAATGCGTAACCATTCGTCAAGTGAGAGGGAAAGCGAGGGAGGAGGGAGCTCGCAGTAGCGCGCGGGAGCTGTGGACCGTCATACACCTTGCGCAGGGGCAGCTCGTGGTCGCTGGGCCGGAGGTCGTGGAGGTAGGCGACTTCGCGTTCGGGTCTTCACGTTGGGGCCTTCGCGTTGGGGCCTTCGGTGATCCACTGCTGGTGATCAGTAACCACGGGGGCTCTTTCATATACGGTCTGCGGAGCTGGGCTGGCAGGCGCAAGGCGGAGCGTGGCACCCAGTCCGGTCGGGGTCGAAGCTTCCCTGATATGAGATTGGCCAGTGCGAGAGCGTGGCACGCACCTCTAACCCTCACAACGGCTCCTGGTAGGCCCAGTAGTGGGCAACGGCGGCGGTAAGACGCCACGAGTGGGCGGATGTGCTTGCGGGCTACTATGTGTCGTGTCAGCAAGGCAAGATCGGCTGCTGAACGTACACGGGTGACCAGTGGAAGGTGAGGCTGGCAGCGGGTTGTGGGGGAAGGGAAGCAACCAGTCGATGAGGCTGTGTTTTTTCGTGTCTTGGATTCTGATCGATCGCGTCATTGATTCACGTGCTGATCTCGCGACTTAGACGAAATTTAGGTCAGTAAGCAACTCCATGAAACCCATTCCTCCAAACAAACTACCAGATATTGTCATGGCTTTTCAAATATCAAATATGATATACAAGCTCTCATAGTAAAAATACTGTGTGAGGGAACTTAAGCTTGCCTATTAGTAGGGTTCCAGGGATATGTCTGGGATGGAGGCTGGGGACATGCCTGGGAATGTCTAAAGCTAGGCAACACTCTAAGCATCTGTATGGTCATGGTTCAAAGGTCCACCCTGTCAGCTTAAAAAAAGGACTTAAGAAAGATACATAAGAGGTTACCAGTAGCGACCTTTTATAAGATCTTACAAAAGACATATAAGATGCATTTTATCTTAGAAAAAGTCTAATTCATCTTAGAAGGCACTTAGAAAAGATGCATAAGAGCTTATGGAACTTTCATAAGATCTTACAAAAGGCATATAAGATATATAAGATGCTCTAAGATCTTAGATAAGTTCATAAGTCCAATAAGGTAATATAAGATCTTCTCTAAGATCCCTCTAAGATCTTGTCATTTTCCTGATGTTCCTTCAGTCTCTTCAAATCCCTCCCCCACTGACCCAAATCTTTGTGTTATCCATTGTATAGCTACTAAAGAACTTTCACCCTTCTCACCCAATTTCAAGTTTTTTTCCCAGAACAAATTTGTGAGCGCGAAAAATCATAGAACAGTTTATGTCACGAATGACAGCGTGACATACTGTGACCCTTCTCTTCTCCGACAGCCATGTCAATTATCTTGCGATTATCTTGCAATCATCCTGAGCTCTGTTTTGGCCCGTTCTCCCCGCGTGCACTGTGTGCTTCCGCAGCTTGCACAGGAGCTCAATGTCTGCGACCTTGTGAACCTGCCGTACGTCTTGCCGGGTTCACGCTGCGTTAACGGTTAGACTTATTAGAAACTGTCAGGAAACTGCTCCGACGCGCAGCCCGGAAATCTTGGGAACTTCAAAATTTCCATAAACAACCATTGGCATGATGCACAGCATCCTTGCCACGCGCCGGTGGCAGCGCTGGATGTCCGAAGACTCTCACTCTTCTCCACAACACCAAAGCATACGCTGCCCGTTGTGGCCGCAGCCGCTCTTTGAACTCACTTTGCACGAGCACAGCGCTGGGGCAGAGCAACCTGAAAAATGGGAATGGTCAGTTGATGTCATATACGGGAGCCTTCATAATTATCTCGGCAACATCTTCGAATTCTCTCAATCTGTGATCAACCATCATGGTCCATGCACCGCAGGCAGGTCCGCAGCCGCAACTTCCCCCCAGAAGAACTCGCTGAGCTTTTCGATGAGCTTGGCGGTGTGTCTCAGGTCGCTTCAATGTTATTGTGTATAAAACGGACTGCACGGATGATAAGAGGTCACCCCCGCTGGGCTCCTTCCTTCTTCTTCCTCCTAGCGGCCGACCATGATCACTTTCAGCGTTCTCGCTCTTGCACTCAATGTCTTTTCCGCTCTTGGTCACCATTTGCAGCCCGTGTCTCGCGGACTCACGTGCGTATCCCTGTCATAAACTCATAGTATAGTGGTTGTCGCTGAAGCTTGATTTCTAGCAGCCGTGGTTGCGCAACGGAAATCTCCGCTGCGCATAAGGATGCCGTCGAGGCCGACTTTGCTGCCCGCCGCGCAGGACTTGCTGCGAAGAAGGCCGCTGCCATTACCATCCCGACCTATTTACACGTCGTCCGCCACACAACGACGCTTGCTGGAGGCGACATTCCGTGCGTTGACTTCGCCTGTCAAAATTATTGCATGTTCTAATACTTACTGTAGTGACTCGCAAATCACTGCCCAGATGGCAGTGCTCAACGCCGCCTTCGCGAACACCTCTTACACTTTCCAACTCGTCGAAACGACCCGCACGACCAACTCCAGCTGGTTCCGGCGTGCCTCGCCCTTCGGTGATGGGCTGCTCTACCAAAACGCCATGAAGGCCGCCCTTCGCCGCGGCGGTCCGGAGACACTGAATCTTTACTCGGTCGGATTCACAGATGATGAGGGCCTGCTGGGCTACGGCACTTTCCCATCGGAGTATGAGGAGGCTCCCCAGGATGATGGTGTTGTGTTCCTGTATAGCACCGTCCCCGAGGGCACGCAGGAGCCCTATAACCTCGGTGGAACGGTTCAGCATGAGGTATATCCATATTTTGGCCGTCGTCGTCGTTGTCGCTCATGCACCACCAGGTTGGGCACTGGGTGGGACTCTACCACACCTTCAACGAGGGAGACCTTGCGAACACTTGCGACGGCTCGTCCGACCTCGGTCCGTTGATGCTCCGCTCTAATATAAACTTTGAGATGCTGACTTAATATGTGCAGTCGACGACACGCCCATTCAGCGCTGGCCGACCGGCGGCTGCCCAACCCGCTCTGACACCTGCCCCGAGGTTGACGGCGATGACCCGATCCACAACTACATGGACTACAGCGACGATATCTGCTACGATAACTTCACCCCCGGCCAGGTCGAGCGCATTGCCGCGCAGCTGAGTGTGTACCGCGGACTCTGAATGGAGGGCACTAGGGTATATACTTATTGGATATTATATTGTAGGCATATATCTGCCAGTGAGATGTAGTAACTGGCACACAAACAACGACCAGCACATCAAATATTAATTTACGTGAGAGCCATTTCAGTTCTTCCACAAATTGATTCCATCTGCCACACGATGACATGGTGCGACCCGTGTGCCACGAGCCCCAATATAATTGCGGCTTGCCTTTGCCCCTCATCATCCCTGCATCTCGAGTGTGCTGCAACCAAACCACCGTTATCCACACTTGCAATGGTCATCAACCTCCACGATACAGGCACTACCACGGTGTACAACATCTCTGGTAGCAATTGCTCTGGGTTATAGCATCAACTTGAAGAGCTTACTCCTTTGGCAGGTGGAAATGGGGGCCCTGGTGGCCAGGGCAGTGACTTGGGAGGGACCGGGGGAGTTGGAAATGCACCAAATATCACTATCAAGTAATGTCCCCACTCTCCTGCCATACTCACTCTGATGTTTGGCACACTTGAAAAGCCAAGGGTTCAGAGATATAGAAAGACAGCGCAGAAAGATCTTGGAGTGGCTTTCACCCATCAATTTTGCACCAAGACATCAAGAAATCTATGAAACTTGTCAGCCAGGTACAGGAGAGTGGCTAGTACAGGACCCTGCATTCATAGAGTGGGTGTCTGCGTCTGAACTGAAAGCACTTTGGTGCTTTGGCAATCGTAAGATATTAGTATTTCTTTCATGGCTTAGCTGATGGGCAACAGCTGGTGTTGGCAAAACAGTTCTGATGTATCAGCTTGTTTTCTTGCTTGTCAAAAATATGCTTATTGTATTCCTAGGTCTAAGGCTATTGAGCATCTTTTCAGAGTTTACACTGATGATGACTCAGTGGGCATAGCCTATGTATACATCAACTACAAAGAAGCTGAGATACAAACTATCAAGAATCTTCTCGGTACTCTCTGTAGGCAGTTGATCCTCAAGACAGACATCACAATAGCAGAAAAGCTTTATGACCAGCATCAAGACAATAATACTAGACCTTCACTAGCAGAGATGAAGTCTCTACTTGAAACTATTATCTCCCAATTCAGTAGTGTTTATATAGTGATTGATGCTCTGGATGAATATCCTGAAGGAGAGCAAACTGCACTTATAAAAAAACATTCATCTAGGCCAACAAGGAAAGCTGATGTTGTCATGTAGACCACACATCACTCCCATAGACTCTTTGTTTATGCCAATTCACATAACAGCAGAGCAGCAGGATATAAGAAAATATATTTTTGCTCAGATATTTAACAATAGACATCTTTCCAGACTGTTATCTGGTAATATTCAGCCAATTGTTGACAAGATTACTTCAAATGCTCAGGATATGCAAGTAGTTCTACCTGAATTATCAGTAGTAGATATTAACTGCAAAAATTAGGTTTCTACTAGCAAAGCTACAGGTTGCACAAATAATGTTAGCAGAAACATTGCAGCAACTACAGGAGATGCTTGAACATGTGCCCCAGACTCTCAATGAGGGCTATCTACAAACAGTGCATAAAATAACCCAGGAATCAGCAAGACAAGCTTTAGGTTGGGTTGCATTTGCAAGACAGCCTTTATCAGTGATACAACTGCAAACAGCTGTGGCCGTAAGACAGGATATGACAGAGTTGCCTAGTCAGAAACAAATGATACCAATCAAAAGCCTTCTAGAGTGGTGTCATGGTCTTATTACTATGGATAGTGAAACAGGGGTTATCCGACTAGTACATTATACTACTCAGGATTTCCTGGAAGGATATTTTCCAAATATGAATGTTATCATCACTCAAAGCTTATTAACATATATGAAGCTCCTACTCCTGCAAAATACTTTAACAAGAGATCCCTATGCCCCTTGGATGTCTTTAGGAAATTATTGTCAATACATTCTATTTCATGGTATAGGAGAAAGTGAAAGACAACTCACAGATGAAATGATCAATTGTTTTGGATCCCAGCTATCAACTATCAGTTTCCATTATCAGTGGAATATTGAGCCTTGGAAGACTGTTTCTAGATGTGGCCATATTACACCTATGTGTCTTGCAGCAGCTAGTAATATGATACACCTGACAAAATCAATACAAAGCCAGAATACTGAGCAAGAGGGCCTTGCAACAGTGTATGCATCATTATTTGGTCATACATTAGTTTTGGAATATCTGGCAAGCAAGAAATATAGATTGAACTTTTCTCATTTTTCCTATGGACCTGCACTCCATGCTGCAGCATATGGTGGTCACTGCAAGACTATTGAGTATCTACTCAGGCAGGGTGTTCCAGTAAATCAGACTGGAGGGAAGTATGGAACTGCACTACATGCTGCAATAAATCAGGGACATATAGAAGTTGTCAAGTTGCTACTCAAGTCAGGTGCTCATGTAAATATAGTTGGAGGACAAGATGGAATGGCCTTACACAGTGCTGCATTTTGGGGTATAAAGGAGATCATTCTGCCCTTGCTCAGCTCAGGTGCTCCAATAAATACAGTTGTAGGAAGATATGGAACACCACTACAGGCTGCTGCATGGAATGGCAGAGTAGAAATTGTTCAGCTACTCCTTGATGCAGGTGCTGAAGCTGATGTGATTGGAGGAGAGTTTGGAACAGCCCTGCATGCTGCTGCAGCATGTGCAGGACCAGGAGGAAACAAGACTGTCCAGCTTCTACTTAATTCAGGTGCTCAAGTAAATATAGTTGCCGGACATTATGGAACAGCTTTACAGGCAGCTGCTCATTCTGCTTATGGAAGATTTGAAACACTACAGCTTCTGCTGAACTCAGGTGCTCAGATAAATATAGTTGCAGGAGAATATGGAACAGCCCTACAGGCTGCTATATATGCAAGCTTTGGGTTTATAGAAACAGTTCAGTTTCTGCTGAACTCAGGGGCAGATTTGAATATAGTTGCAGGAAAATATGGAACAGCTCTGCATGATGCTGTAGCAGAGGGAAGAAGAGATATAGCTCAGCTTTTACTAGATTCAGGTGCTCAAGTAAATGCAGTAGCAGCTCCATATGGGACACCCTTGCATGCTGCTGCCTATTTAAACAAAACAGAAACAGTCCAGCTTCTGTTTGATTCAGGTGCTCATATAAATGCAGTTGATACTACATATGGCTCTCCACTGCATGTTGCATTGCTCCAAAACTCTGATGAAATAGTTGTTATGTTGACCAATGTTGGTGCAAAAGATATTAGTCCTGATCTTATAAGACAAAGTGGTCTATTAACATTTTTATTGTCCTTTATTTAGTTAATATACTCTGGTATTTTAATCAAGTCATGTATTACATGTCACACTGTATGGGAATAGAGACCCAAAAGTTGCAAATATAGATCAACTAATGATTGGCTAGTACTAACATAACTATTGGACTGCTGTGGAAGTGTGGAATGTCTCTTACATAGATTTTCCATATGAGGCAGTTTCCGCTTTAGGATGCCCATCATCAATATTTGATGTGGCTATTTGTTTGTAGTCTACATCATCATTTAATAGAACCCCTCACACCCCAACCACCACCGAGTTCGCAACCAGTGCCGAGATTGCTCCACTGAGGGCAAGTTGCTAGTGAACATCGAGCCCCCGACCACCAGATTCTTGCATCTTTCAAGTCCCCGAGCCCCCGAGCCGAGGTTCACGACTGGAGCGAGTTTCTGCGATTTTATATTCACTTTTGCTTTCACTCTTACATGAATTCTTCCACTCTTTTCCCTCCGAATTCCTTTCATTCGTGCTACCCCAATCCCGGACATATCGACCGTTCTTCTGGCGAACACTGCACAAGCCAATACTTCCACACTGCCACTATGGGTCATTTAATAAAAGTGGTCCATATAGTGAAAATACACAACTTTGATTGTGATGATCTGTGACACTCTCTCATGATTGTATGCTCACACAGTAAAAAATTGGCTCATTTGGAACTTTGTCATGCCTGTCATTCCCCATAACAAGCCTACAATATATCCGACTTGGTCAAAATTGCCTTAAGAACTTCAAAGACTTAGCATTATTTATTTATTGTCCCCACACAGTATAAGGGCGACGAGCGTCCAGACTCCTCACATATCGCGCTGGTCACGGCACGTGACTGTGTCATGCGGCTGCGCATATAAGCGAGCCAGTGTACCAAGTTTGGAGGCAATAGATGCAGTATGTATGGAGATAAAAGCTAAGAAACGATAAGGAGATATGTCTGATAAGCAAAAAAGCACCAGTGGTAATTGCACCTGTTAATCCCACATATCTCTTCTAATTAGAAGTGAGGCTACACTGGGGTCTCACTTCTAATTAGAAGAGATGACTGCAAAATAGCCATGCTGCAATAATTCTCAAATATCTTGCTGCAGCACAGGCTCTAAGTTTCCCTCTATGCTACTAAGTCCTATCCTATGCTGCTATAGCTGCTATAATTGTCCTGGTATCTGGGTCTAAGTCCAAGTGTGACAAAATCGCGCATTTGTCACGTTTGTCACACTATGTGACATGAGTAGCATTCACCCCAAAATGAAATTTTCCGGGTAAGTAGCTAAAGACTGACTGGTAGTCACATATGTCACAGAAATAAACCTGTTGTAGTATGCAGTGAGAGGTATGAGAAGTGGCCAAAAAAGGAAATCTTTGGCCAAATATGATTATATTATTTTATGGACATAATATATTATAATCATATCATATTCAGAGCTCCAACACAATAATATATTTGTAGTATAGTATAATCATATTCAGCTGCAAAATATGAATATGTTATGAATATGTTCAACTATAATCTAGTATGCATATCTCTTGATATATGCTGCTAGAGAAGAAATTAACAACATAAGATACATGCTGGATTGTCACCACAACTTCCTTTTGGGTCTCTCTAATTCCAGCCTTGGATACATAGGACTCTCAAAATACAATCAGGGGCATTGCCAATAGTATTAGGTTGGCCAGTAGACACTTGATGAGGGGTTCTACACTACATTTAATAGGGTCAACCCAAAGTGATCACTCCTGACCCTTGTTCTTACTAGCAGTAGTGTATGAATCAGCATATATGATAGATAATATGTGACATTTATCAGAAGTAGGGCTAACTCAGACTAAGATTAGTACTATCACTGAGTAGATGGACTGAGAAAATAGCTGTGATCATCTACCTTACTATAGTTGAATATTCTGTGACTATAATATAGTATAGTCATAATATATAATATATTCAAACATAATCATATTCAAGTGATCCACCAAGGGCATAATATATTCATAATATTCTGAATGTATTCAATATTTAATCAACCATAATATAATTCTGGCCAGCACTACATAAGACAGCACTTTGAAGAAAGTAGTTGCTAGTGAGACGCACTGGTATGTCGTTACGCAAAGGACACCACTGTAAGCATCCCCCTTCCGTCTAGGAACAGCACCAGACCCAGGACATCGTCCAGCGCCAGATCATACGTCCCTCCGCGCTCCGCGTCCGGCTCCACGCAGCGCGCCGCCTCCCCCTCCAACTGCAGCACGTGGTGCCGCGCCTGCCCGGCGCCGTCGAGGAAGACGAGCACGAGGCGCCGGTCCGCGAGCGGGGCAGGCGCCGCAGCGGCCGCCGCAGCGGAGGCGGCGTCCGTCGGCGCGGGCGGGGGCGGGGCGAGCGAGACGAGCTGCAGGACGCACCGGCCCGCGGTGCCGGCGATCTGCGCGAGCGGCGTCGCGCGCAGGATGTGCCGCGCCGCGGGGGCCGGGGCGGCGCGCGCGCCGAGGGCGGCCTCCGGCGGCGGGCAGAAGTTCGTGAAGGCGACGTCGGCGCCGGGCGCGCTGAAGCACCGCCACGTGACCGCGGCGACGCCGAGGTTGGGCCGGCGCCCGAGGACGAGCGGGTCGAAGGAGAGGACGCGGGAGGACGGGAGGCGGACGTCCGGGTCGTCGGCGTCGGCGAGGCGCGTGTGGTGCGCAGCGGTGAGCGCCCGGCGTGGCTGTGGGAGCGGCCCGGCATCGAGCGCGGCGGTGAGGTCGACGGTGTCCGTGATGAGGTCCGGGAAGCCGCCGAGGCTGCACACCCGGAGATGCCCGAGCCCTTCCGTCTGGGGCGGCGCGGGGAGGTGCGCATATCGCAGCCCAACGAACCCGCTCGCAGCCTGGAAACGTCGTTAGCCGCCTGTTCTACCTTCTGCGACCAACTCGAAGACGCACCACCTTCGCCCACGGGTGCCCGATACTGCGCACGGCCGCCGCGCGGTCGAGCGTCCAGAAGTAGATGCGCGAATTCGTCGTGGCGCCAATCAGTGCGCTGCTGAGGAACACGTCGTCGTTGGGCTCTGCGTCGGGTCGGAACGGCGGGGAGACAACCGGCGCCAGGCGCACGTGTGCGCGGTCGGTGTAGTCGAGCAGCAGCACCGCGAAGCCGATGTCATTCCTATCCTTCCCGTCAGCGGCCTGCGACTGTCATTTGGACCTGGCATGTACACACCCGTCGGGCGGCCGGACCGTCCCGCCGAGCATCGCGCGCCCCGGGCCAAGGACAACACACCCCACGTCCTCGCGCTGCTGGAAGTGGGGCAGCGCTACAAGGCCGACCCGCGCGCCGCTGCGCACATCCCAGCAGGCCACGGCGTGCGTGGCGTCCGTGCTCACGGCCAGATACGTCCCCGGGACACACGTGATGCTCCCCGGCCCCGGCTGGCCCACGCCGAAGACGCGCGTCCAGGCCGGGCGCAATTTATCGGAGCGCAGGTTCTGCAGGAGACGCGCTGCGTGGCGCACGGTGGCCTGCAGGTCGGCGAGGGGCACGTGGCACGGGTCGAGTGTGGGCATAGGATGGAGCTCGACCCGTTCAATGCGCGAGATGGCGTCGAGCCAGAGTGAGGGGTAGTTTTGCAGCACACGGAGGGCACAGCAGGTCTGCAACCGCGTCAGCAGAATAACTTATAAGGGGGATGAACTTGGGGCGCAGACAGCGAGGAGGCTGAGCAGGTCGCAGACATCTAGCTCCTGCGTGAGCCGCAAGAGTACGTCGTCCGGCCAGGCCAGCAAAAGAGTCGTCATAATGAGGGGCGAAGACAAGGAGGGATGACAGTATGTCACTCGCGCGTGACCCGTGACGGAACGCGCTGTTGAGTCACATCGCACGTCACCGTGACGGTGGCGGTGGGGCTTCTTACTTGACCACCATCCCGACCGCGCATCCCCTCCGGAGAGCGGCGTCTTCTGCCCGTACACGCTTTCGGCCCTCACCCCGCGCTGCGCGCTTGGCTCAAACTCGACCGACACGGCCGCGCGATCCTCGAATGTCCATGTCAGCAGCCGATTGTTCGCTGTGGCTATATTCGCTCATGCCGCCCGCGAGCAATTTCTCTGGCCTGCCGTTACGCTCTATAAACCACCAGCTCAACGACAGGCCGTTACGCGTTCCACAAGCGCTCGTCCCGCTGCTTGCACCCGCTGCGATGTGTCGCCGCTGCTGACAACACACCGATACGTATCAAATATACCCCGTTGTGTTCCGATGTTGTGGAAGCCGAGATTGGCAATTGCGCAATGTGGGCCCATGGGTCACGGGCTGGGAATCCTGCTGGAGTTGTGTCTATGTCTCTCCTCCGGCCGGTTCAAGGTGGAAGTCCTGTCCACCGCGTCCTTTCTGGCGGCGGCTCGCTGGCAGATTCAAGTTCACCTTGTCCTTTGGCAGCACTACGCCGCCACGATCCCGCTATCAAACATCCCTATCAGCGACTCTCTGATTATCGCGGGGGCACTGCTCTGGCATCGCATGGCGCACGACGAGGTTATCAGGCCTGCGCATCAGGAGGGCGTCCTTCCCGAACAACCATCATCAGTGCATCATGGGATTAGCCGGGCGAGAGGCGAGTGCACATGGCCCGAAATAGCGTGCCCCGCGCCAGCCCGGGACCCAGTGGGCACCCATCCGGCTTCTGTGTGCGCTTGGCGGCGTGTCGCTGGCCGCTTCTTGGATACTTCGCGCTGTGTTATCTCTGTGCGCCGCGTGTGGTCGTGGCCGCGTCGAGGTATAAAGGCGGGGGATTGGGGACGAGGGAGGTCACCTCTGGTCTTCCGCCTTCCTCCCTCGCCCGATGATCGCCCTCAACGTGCTTGTCCTCGCACTCAGCGCCGTCTCCGCTATCGGCAGCGAGCTAGCCTCTCGCGCGCCCAAGTGCGTTTGTCTGCTTGTTTGTCGTTGTTGTTATTCAAGTTTCTGAAGGCGTGGATGCGGGACCGAGATCTCCCCAGCGCAGAAGGACGCCGTTGAGGCCGACTTTGCCGCCCGGCGGACCGCGCTCCCCAAGAAGCTGACGGCTGCGATCGTGACCATCCCGACATACTACCACGTCGTCCGTCGCGGTACGACGCTTTCGGGCGGCGATGTCCCGTGAGTGTGGGCCACCCCATTAACGATGAATCTAATCTCTCCCTCCCAGTGACTCCCAAATCACCGCCCAGATGGCCGCGCTCAACGCCGCGTTCGCCAACACATCCTACACCTTCGAGCTCGTCAACACGACGCGGACGACGAACACCAACTGGTTCCAGCGGGCGTCGCTCTACTCGGACGGCCTGTCGAACCAGAATGCGATGAAGGCCGCCCTTCGCCGGGGCGACGCGGGCACGCTCAACCTCTACTCGGTCGGCTTCACGAGCGGGAGCGCGGCGTCCAACGGGCTGCTCGGCTACGCCACCTTCCCGTCGAGCTACGAGGACGCCCCCCAGGACGACGGCGTCGTCTTTTTGTACAGCACCGTCCCCGGGGGCAGCACCGCGAGCTTCAACCTCGGCGGCACGGTCCAGCACGAGGTCGGCCACTGGGCCGGGCTCTACCACACCTTCAACGAGGGCGACCTCCAGGGCACGTGCAACGGCTCGTCCGACGAGGGTGCGTGCATTTTAAATGATTTTTACCCTCCTTCTCCAGATGCTGACGCGTTCTCTGCAGTCGACGACACCCCCGCGCAGCGCAGCCCCACCTCCGGCTGCCCCGCGCGCGCGGACACGTGCCCGAGCCTCCCCGGCGACGACCCGATCCACAACTACATGGACTACAGCACCGACGTCTGCTACACCAACTTCACCCCCGGCCAGGTCGCGCGCATCAGCGCGCAGATGGGCGTCTACCGCGGGATCTAGGCGTCTGCCGAGGGATCTAGGGGGCAATTGAGAAATGGGAATTTGGGAATTTACTGGGTGTTGTATGTATTTATCGCCACTGCCAACAAAATGACATTGTGTACTCTGCACTACTTACTGAGACGGCCCAGACGGGAAGGATCCGTTTTTTCTTTTCTTTTGCGTTGCCCCGCAGTCACTGGTTGACTGCTTTGGTAACTGGTCCCTCATCACAACTAGTCCTTCGCCAACAGGGATAAAACTCTTTGTACATCCGGAAATGGCATTAACAGTCAGTCCCTTCTTAGTAGTGAGCATAATCATACCAACAGAGTAGAAGTAGCACTGGCTGGACAGTTGTTCCCATAGAATAGGGCTCAATTCTATAGAAGTATGTAGGATCTAGTTCCGTTCATTATAACACTACTACTGTCCCATTTCGATCAACAGATGACCAGTATATACTACTATATAGTTGGTGCCCTAGCAGGTGTTTCTTCTCTTTGCATCCTTCCCTGCTAGGTTGGTCCGATGGTCCCTCTATGTATTCCGTAGCTTTTATTCATGCCTCTCCTGCTGAGCTGTAGTAGTAATATCTTTGGAAATATTCCCCAGTTGTAACCAGGGTTACCAAACCCTTGGTTTAAGAAACCTTTTTCTTCCCCTTTGAAACCTTGGCCCTGGTTGATAAGATAAGACAAGGAGGAGATAAGATGGATGATAAGATGGTGATTAGATAATCAGATGTCAATGCTGATGTTGATTGACAGTTAGTAACCCTACAAGGATTGATAAACAATCCAATATGAAGATGGCAAATCAAGTTTAACAGTGTTAATTGATACAGTGTATGCTACAATACTGACTAGAAAATTCTGTTAAACATGTATAAGTTCAGCAGAAACAGAGTGAGCAGGCTGACTTACCAAGGGAAAGGGGAATTTGACATTTAACTAGTTAAACACATATTAGCAATAATCAGGTTCCAAACTCAAACTTAACTACCTGAAGTTTCCTGTTAAACAACATTAAACCAGCACTGCAACACTTATGAGCTTGATAGAATAATATCACATTAAGTTTTGCCCACAACCTGGACCACTCTGAGTATATGCAGAAGTGGTGGCTGCCAGGGTGCTTAGGGCTGACTTGATTTTCAGGACACATCAGTTTGTATCCCATAACACAATCAGTAATGAAGCCGATGGAAGTACAGTGACTTGCAGCGCCAATCTGGAAAGCGGAACAGGTCTTAAGTGCTTTGCTGGCTTGCTTGTGACTAGTGAATTTGCACTTCAGTGGCTTTGTGCACACCTTTTGAGACCAGGCTAGTGTCAGCATGAGCAGTGTTTGCTGGTAGGCCGATTTTTGCTCACAGTTTCTGCATAAAGAAGGCCTGTGCCAGTGCCCCAGTGGGAGACAGGGTTGTGAAGGGGGTGGCAGCCTGTCAGGCTTTAGGTCGGGCCATGCAAGGGCCGGGCAGCAAGGCTTCTTCTAAAAATGTGCGCCTGGAACAGAACAGACCATAAGAACTTGGAGTACTTCCGGAAGGCGCAGTACCTGAATCATTGTAAAGGCAACCCCGGCACCTGTTTAGCCCACAACACACTGTACATTATCAGTGGTAACGACACAGATTGCCACTGATAAGCCCCAGCATTATCAGCAATTCCCCAAGTGGCGAATAATTGTTGGTGAAGGGGGTGAATAATTGTGAAGTCCAAGGCAAAATTTCTGTAGGGGTGAATAAAGGTGAACAATACAATCCAGGCCATTTTCACCAAGTCTCCCGGAGTCACACTATGTGACATGTGACACAACATCCCAAAAAGGAACTTTTGTCAATAGATAGTAGAGCTGGTAGTTTTAGTGACTATGTGATATGGTTGTATACTGCAACATAGAGTGATACATGACAAATTTCCAAAAAAGGAATTTTTTGCTATTGGACAGTGCAGTCATCAGAGAATGTCACAGATCGTCACAAAACCTCCTGATGCTCTCTCCTGTCGGTCTGACCACGGCATCGGGCCAGGCATCTCCAAAGACATCATCCTCTTTCACCCTGAGCTCTTCCATGTTCACGTGCGCAAGGCTGTCACTGTCTCTGAGCCTGGGTCCAAACTCGTCCACGACATCAAGGAAGTGCTATTCGGTGAGCCTGACCTAGAGGAGCCAATTATGCGTGCAGCTCAGCAACTCTTAAAGGTTCAAGGTCAAGTTCAGGGCCCCTGCTCATCACGTTCAGACAAGTGAGCCATCTCGGGCAATCTTTTGTACATCCATGGCAAGGTCATAGTCCCCAAAGACCAAGACCCAAGGAGGCGCATTATCAAGCTATGATACGTGGAAACCAGGCGAGGAGGCCCGGAAACACTAGCGCTCAGATGAGGGTCTCCAAGATAACAACAAGACCCTTGGCTGGGGTGATTCCGCCTAGACTACGCGTACAGGAATGTAGCGTGTAGAGAGAAGAAAAAGTGTGTGACCGTCACCGTAAACCCTCCAGGTTTACAATACGTGAGTCGCTGTACATGCCGGGCGGTTCAAGACCCTAGAGCTGGTTCCACGCAACTACTGGTGGCCACAGATGTCCTGCCATATCAGACGCTACATCGCAACCTGTGCCCTATGCTACCATACAAAGGCCCTCCGCAGATTGCTACATGGGGAACTACACCTGACCGGAGTTCTCCCCCAAATGTTGGCACATTGTCACAAATGGACTTCATCATCGAGCTCCCCGAAGCCTATGGGTATGACACAGTCATGGTAGTCGTCGATGCTCTTGGCAAATACGCTCACTTCACCAAGTGCCATACAATGGTAGATGCAGTCGGAGCTGCCCAGTTATACTATCGGAACGTCTGCCAAAGTACATTTTGGATCGTGGTTCGCAGTTCATCGCTGACATCACACAGAGCCACCAGTGATCACAATGTAATTTGGCCACCAGGTGGCTCCCGGGGGTTACAAAGTCTGAGTACGTAGGGGCGGCCATACACCAGCCATTTGACATATCCATAATAATAATAAGGCCTAAAAGTCCTACATCTGGGTACCGGCCGACAACAGAATCCATAACTTGAACATCAATGCTCCAGAATTACATATATGATATGACTGTGAGTGTTCCAGCTCGATCAAGCAGAACAACCAGCCCTAGTGTCTCATCCAGCACCCTGCCCCAATCTGCAAATATGCAGCGGTCAGGCTGCAGGCAGCGCGCCGCCTCGCCCTCCAGTGGTAATTTGCGGTAGTTGGGCTGCCCATTCGGGTCAAGAAACACCAGGGCGAGATGGTAGGGGTTGATGCTGTCCCATTCAGGGCCACGGTCATCGGGGTGGTGCACTTGCTGGACGACGTAGCGGCCGGACACACCGGTGAAGTGGGTCAGCGGCTTGGACTCGTGGGAAAAGCATATAGAGCGCAGGGGTCCCGCTCCGGAGTCGCCATGGTCAGTCGTTTGTGCGCAGCCGCCGCCAGAGAGCGCGGGCGGCATTGGCCAGAAGTGGGTGAAGGAATACGTGTCGCGGGTCCCGCGGACTCTATATGCCCGGCAAGATACACTGAGGATGTTGTAGTCGGGACGCACGACCAGCACTTCGTAGCTTGCCACACAGTTGATGCTGGTATCAAGATCGTGGCTGATGGTGTGCTTGTGCTCGTGGTCGCTTTCCTGGATCGCCTGTCTCGTTGCGCAGCGATCCAGCGGGGCAGAATTGAGGTCCAGCAGGTCCAGCGTCATGTCTCCGCATTCCCATTTAATTCCGACTCCCACCAGGCACCGTGACATGGGGAGTTCGGGGTCGGATAAGTGGACGCCACGCAGAAGCCAGATGCCGTTCTCCGTATTCAAGTCATGCCACGGGCTGGGAGTTCGCTGGACATCTTGTTCTGGGTCAAATGTCCAGTAGTGAATGCCCCCCGGAGTGATGAACCCAAAAAGCTTGTCGCTGAGGAAGAACTCCCAGTTTACAATTGGTATGAACTCGGCGTCCTTGACTGGAGGGGACCGAACGAGCTCGAAATGGACATGCATTTTGTCCGTATAGTCCAAAATGAGGATCGCAAGTCTAGCATCCTTATCATTATGTCTGGCAGAAACAAGGTCGGAAAACGAGGGCAAGTTTGAATCAAGTTCGCGACTCACCGGGTTGGGAAGCGCTGAATTGTGCCCCCTAAGAACGCCCGCAGCCCGCTCCTCAATAGGCACACATGAATCGGCGGCCTTGAGGACAAAGGACCGGATCGTAGTTTCGCAAACGCGCTCACCGGTGCGCACATTCCAGCAGACCACGACCGTGATGTCGTCGGCCTCGTCCCATACGGCGGTGACCACGAGATATGTCCCCGGGATCCCGAACAGCGATCGGAATCCCGGATTTCCTGCGTGGCCGACCGAGAAAACGCGTGTCCAGGTGGGACGCGGCAGGGGGGAGTGCCAGTTTTGGAGCAGCCGGTTTGCCTGGCGGACGACGGTTTGCAGTTGGGAAAGCGTTAGCCGGGCGAGACGCTCCATGGGGACGGGAAGAGGGTGGAGCTGTACATGCCGGAGGCGTGCAGCGGCCGAGATCCAGAGGGTGCGGTGGTGTTGTAGCGCATGGAGGGCATTGCACGTCTGTGGCAACACGATCAGCTTTTGACATTGGCCCGTGCATGCCGGGCTACATACTGCCAGAAGATTTATGAGGTCGCGGACGTCCAGCTCCTGCGCAAGCCTCAGGAGGACGTCCTCCGGCCAGCTGGGCAAAGAGGACATGATGGGAGGCGCTAGGCCTTGCGTACGCCGTGACAGTGTCTTCACTGGCTATATATAAGTTGATCCGATGGAGTTCTTCGCATGATCTGTGATTGAGAATGAACAAATGTCGGTCGCCCTGTCGGCGCTCCACGTCAATGTGGCGTCTTATTGATCGGCATTGGGCAAAGAAGCGAGCGCAAAAACACGAGGGCGTCGTGCTGACCCTCTCCGAGTCGACAAAATTCAACTACGCATACGCAACCACCGTCACCGTCCCTGTGCGGTCCAGCACCACCACGAGGCCGAGCGTCTCGTCCAGCGCGAGCCCCGCCGCCGTGTACGGCGCGCGGTCCGCGCGCATGCTATCCGCCGCCGCGCCTTCCAGGTGCAACACCCGGAACGCGGGCCGGCCGGCGGCGGCAAGCCGCACGAGGCCGAGGCCGAGCGGGGTGTTGGCCGGCCCGCGACGGCGGACCCACCGGCGGAACAGGCCTCCGTCGCCGGCGCGGCGCGCGGGTGCGGGGAGGGACAAGAGTTGGAGGACGTAGCGGCCGGAGCCCCCCACGACCTGCACGAGCGGCTGGTAAGCATGCTGACAGCACACAGAGGTAGCTGGCGCGTTGGTGTCGCTGTCGCCGGGGGGAGGCCAGAAGTGCGTGAACGCAGACCAGCCGCCGCCGGGCGTCTTGTATCCGCGTGCCGACACGCCGAGTACCCCGTGATTGGGCGGCACGACGAGCGGGGGGAAGTATGACACCGTCCGCATGTCGAGCGTGAGTTGCCATTTTTTCCGCATGGTCACGCATTCCGGAAAAGGCAATTCCTGTGCTCGTGACCCCGACATGTCCCGCCTCACCCGCCCTTTGGTAGAAAAATCCAACTTTTAGTATAAATAAGAATGTGTCATAAACTAGAAAAATACAGAAAGAAAAAATAATATTGTGGAGGAGTCCGAGGCACGCAGACCCAGCAACTCGTCCGTTGACCTTGCGCGAGGCCGGGGCAGCGGCACCGGCTTCTCACTCCACCCTTCTCTCTCCTCCTCCACTACCTCGGACGACAGCGCACATAGAAGGGTGGCAATGGGCGTAGGAATGGGTGTGGGGGAGTGCAGAGGGCGGGAATGGGTGCTGGGGAGGGAAAGTGAGTTGCCAAATCTGGGTAGTGGCGCCAGCTTACCCGATCTTGTCCTCGACCTGCAGCTGCCAATACTGGGCCGTTCCGCCCAATCTTTTGAACAGCTCCCGGGATGCCACCCCCCTTCCATCCTCGTCTATGACCGGGCCTGCCGACGCCGCCGTTCCCGTGCATCGTCCAAGATAGGCAACTGCACGGGTAGGCCAAACCCGCGCGGGTAGGCGGGTTTTACCCGCGGGGGTACGGGTACGGGTCAGCGAGGCCGCTACCCGTAGCCTCATGACTCAGCTGGCTCTACTTCTGGAGATTGCTGCCGAGGTCCTCGGTTCGACTCACGCTGTATTTGTGCTTTTTATCACATATTACGGCTTTGACTCACCTTGTACCTCTGACACATCCTCATCAGTGACCGGTGACCCATGGGTAAACCCGTACCCGTACCCGCGGGTACGGGTGTGGTGGCTGTGCGGGTAAGGGTATGAGTAACGCCTCGGATACTCATGGGTTTACCCGTGCAGTTGCCTAGTCCAAGACAAGGCACTGGGTAGGCCAAATCTTGTCCTGCCCACCCTGGGCTCATTTCTCGGTCGATTCCCGCCAAACCGCGGCACCCTCCTTGGATCCCCCGTCGGTTCTGACAACGAGAATACCGTGGGCAGTGAACGCCGCGTTCCTGCTAGCCGCCACTTGCCTCCCCGGACTTCCCTTGTTTACCACGTGCCCAAATCCCGCCCGTTCTTCGCCAAACTCCAGCTTTTAGCTCGAGTAATCACCCTCTCCAATCGCTGAAGTTTTCAGCCCGAACGGGCCGCCCGCTGTCTCCCGCCGTCCCGCCCGCCAATCCTGCCCCCAAGGCCGGACTTGGCCGGAGTTCGCCAATCCTGCGCCTGTTCGCCCCCCAATTCGGCCAGTATTCAGCGGCAGCGAGGGGAGGAAGGTTAGAGGGGAAGAGGGGGAAGAGATGGTGGAAGGAGCGGAATTTGTTGGTGGCATGGCACGCTGTCACAGCTTGTGTATGGGGAAAATGTCTTTGGAAAGAAAATATTTATCACAAAGTAGTCACGAGGATGCGCCCGGCGGGAATTTCCATTTTGGGATGCACATGACCATGCGGCAAAGGCAAGACCTGATGCAGATAACGGACGCCCCCGGGATCTACCGAGAACGAGCGTGTCCACACGGGCCGCGGCACGTCAGATTTCCAGTTGAGAAGCAGCCGATGCGCTTGTCGGACTAGTGCTTTCAGGCGCGCTGGCGGGACGCCGGCGATGCGCTCGGTCGCCGCCAAGGGCAGAGGATGGTGCTGCACGTGCCGAAGGCGCTGCGCCGCGGCGATCCAGAGGGCGTGGTAGTTCTGCAGCGCACGCAGAGTGCGGCAGGTCTGCAGGCGCGTGAACAACAGGATTCCGCAAAAAAAAGAAGAAAGGATTCCGCAAAGGAGAAGCGCGGCGTACAGCGAGGAGGTTCATCAGGTCGTGCACATCGAGCTCTTGCGCGAGCCGCAGCAACACGTCGTCGGGCCAACGGGCCAAAGATAGACCCTGGAGGCATGATGATGATGGTTTGTGGCAAGGACGGTGCCGGCATGTGACTGTGGTGTGACTGTGGCATGTGACTGTGGTGTGACTGTGGCGCCATCACCCGCGTGATACGGTGATACGCGACACCTTTAAGACCGGGCAGGGCATGGGCCGACAGCTTCTCGATATTGGCTGCGTTTAGGTGACGATGAGACGAGCTTCAGTTCAAATCTACATGCAATATCATTGTCCGATCATACAAAAAAGTCTGAACGAGATCCCACGGTAGACCCCCATCTGCGCCCGATGGGCCACGCTAAATGGCCGCGACACGGCCGCAGGGCCGCAATTGCACAGCCACACGGCCGCAGGGGGGCCGTACGGACGCCTCTGCCTCATTGGGGCATAGAGCTGAGGGTGGGTTGGTTAAAGGACACGTGTAGTACTCAAATATATCAATCGGCACTCAGTTTGGTGCAGAGAGACAACTTAAGTGTGGACTTGTCGCGGCCGTACAGCGGCCCTCTTCGTGTGGCTGTACCTCCATGGCCGCAGCCATTGAGAATTTTGTCGCGGCCCTGCAGCGGCGGTGTCGCGGCCATGCTGCGGCTTTGTCGCGGCCATGCTACTAGTACAGCCATGTCACAGGCCGCGCCAGTCACACTGCCGCGCCGACGCAGCCCACCGGGACACTAGTACTTCAAGTTGTCACGAATATACCATTGCTCGTATACACCAACAATCAGCTCGAAGCTGAGCCACAGGCATGTCCAAATGGCCGATCTGCTCCGGCGTGAAGCTGTTAGGACTGCCAGACCCGAGGACTCCTCGGGTCAATGGGGCAAAGATAAACTGGCGATTGACATGGTGGTTTGAGGTCCGGCAGGACCCCCGACAACCCCCTTAGAGGCCGAAACCTCGACCGGGTAAAAAATTGAGAAAATTTTGAAAATGCCGGGGGTAAACTGGGTAAAAATGGGCCAAATTTGGACCAAAGTCAGGGGTGTGACACCGGGTAAAAATGCGCAAAATTTCGAATGCCTGAGGAAGATACTGGGTAAAAACCCCATGGTCTCAAACTCCCCTGCCGTGTATATCATTATCCTCTGGCTGTCTTGTTGCATGTAGTTCGAATCCCATTCCTCCAGCTTTATTTTGCATATTTCTACTATTTGCTGCATATGGACTCACCCCTATTACATACACTTCCCGAAATTTTCCTCAACCTCTTACAGACGTTAGCGCCGGCGTGTCGGGAAATATGATACAACATCTGAATCGTGTGAGTTTCAAGATAAAGCAGAAATTATGAGAATCCGTCCTACTTCGTCCACATGGTCAGCACAGAAAGTCTCCAATTACATGTAGGATGCAACAGCGAGCATGCCGGCTCGGTCAAGGACCATGATGAGCCCCAATATGTCATCTAACGCCAGCCCTTCGGGAGGACCGCGGTCGGCATCCAGGCAGCGCGCCGTCTCGCCCTTCCAAGGGAGTTTCCGGAACTGGGATTGACCATCAGAGTCGAGGAACACGAGGGCGAGCCGTCTGTCCCTAGTCTCATCCCATTCGTAGCTGCGGCCGGCGGGATGGGCGACAAGCTGCAGGACATATCGCCCGGACACACCCGTCGCATGCACAAGCGGCTTCGAGCGGTGGCAATGGCATATCGACCGCGGAGCCTGCGGCCCGGAGTCCCCCGTCTGGGACGATGGGCCTGCGGTTTCTGACATTTCGAGGTCGCTTACGGCGGGGACGCCCCGGGGTGTGGGCCAAAAATGCGTGAAGGAGAACGAGGCGTTTTTGTGGGATTTGAAACCGCGCCAGGAGACGCCACAGACGCCATAGTCCGGGCGCATGACCAGTGGGGAGTAGTGCCCGACACTATTGGTATTGAGGTTAATGTTGTGGCGGAGACATGCCTCACGCTCTTTTTCGCTGAGCAGGATCCGCTGACTGGTGGAAGGCCTAGGGGGGGTTGACATGGTGTGAAGTGCCATCGAGGGCAATGCTGTCCACGATGGCATGTCCACCAGCGGTGATAGTGAACATGCGGAAGCGTAGGAGACCGTCTGAGGAGACGTGGGCGGATATGAACTGTGGATCCAGGGGGCGTTCGAAACTCTAGAACAGATCAAGAGTGAGATCTTGAGATGACTTTCTGGGGACAAGCACGAACCATGCTCCCCCATGGGTTGGCGATGCGTCGCATCGTTGACTCGGGATCGGGGTCAAATGTCCAGTAGTAGAAGTCCAAGCTTGTAGTATACCCAATAATCTTGTCGTTGAGGAAGAATTTCGCGGGGCTCAGTGGCGGGACTATGCCAACTGGGGGAGATATAAATGTGTCGAAACGGATGTTGGCCCTGTCCGAGAAGCTGAGTACGATCACAGCGAGGCTGAGCAGGCCCCTGAAAAAAAAAGGGGTCATGGTATGAGTATAAATCCGCCAGTACTAGTAATTTGCTTTTACTTACGCTCTGTCTGGCAGACGCACCGTGGCTCCCAGCATTGCCCGCCCGTCTCCGGTCACACACGGCGGGGCAACGATGAGGTGAAGGTGTGGGACATCGGTCTTGTCAACACACTCCCCCGTCCGCGCGTCCCAGCACGAAATCGCGTGATCGGAGTAGCTGACGCTAGCCACGAGGTACGTGCCCGGGATGCAAAACATAGCCTGCTTCCCGATGTGGAAGGAGCGTGTCCAGACTGGACGCGGTGCGTCAGAGTGCCAGTTCCGAAGTAGCCTGTTTGTTTGTCGGGCTAGTGTTTGAAGCCGGGCGAGCGGCAAACTGGATATGCTCTCGTCCTGCGCGAGGGGGAGCGGATGGAGCTGGGTATATCGAATACGATGGACTGCGGCGATCCAGAGGGTGCGGTAGTCTTCCAGCGCGCGCAAGGCGCGACACGTCTACAATCGCGTTGGGTCGTCAGCTTCGAGTTTGCAGGGGTAAAAAATGCATGTGCGTACTGCCAGAAGGCTGAAGAGGTCGCAGATGTTCAGCTCCTGCCCCAGTGTGAGGAGCACGTCGTGTGGCCAGCTGGCTAAAGAGGCCATGAGTTGGCAAAAGAAAGACACGTTGTGTCACAGGTCACGCGCGACGTCAGATGACTCCTCCGTGACATTCCGTCACTTGTCACACCCTTTTTCTTTTGACCCAGACCTTCATGGCGACGGTTCTGAGCCCCTCTTAAAGTTTGCCGCACTGGCCGCACGACCTGCTCCTGCGGCTCGTGAAAGAGATGGATTTCTGCGAGATTATGGATAAAGTATAAACCAAGGTATCATGTATGAACCTTCTTGCAACCTTCTTGTGCCCGTAAGAAGTTGCTGACGCCAATTTGCAGACCTGCCAAGTTGTGTTTCGGTGACGAGTAGACGGAACTCATGAATAAACGCAATATCATGATTATAGTCCGTGATGCAACAGTCTAACAGTCCAGTTCACCATCTACTCAGATCCCACGGTAAACTCCCATCTGTGCGTGCATGCGCTCGCGCTGGCCAGGCGTGAAGTTGTTCTGGCAGTCCTCGGTGCTGTAGTCCATGTAGTTGTGGATCGCGTCGTCGCCAGGCAGGTCAGGGCAGCTGTCCTGACGCTCGGGACAGCCGAAGGTCGGGTAGCGCTGCGCCGGGGTATCGTCGACTGCAAGATATAATTCAGCATCCTCACAAAAGGCGCGAAGGACCGACGCACCCAGGTCAGACGAGCCATCGCACGTCCCCGAAAGATCTCCCTCGTTGAAGACGTGGTAGAGGCCCGTCCAGTGTCCGACCTCGTGGTGGATAAGCGGCAATGACAACGAAAAGCCTGAGACTAACGAACCTCGTGGACTAAATTTGTACCAAAGTTGTAAGGGTCGGTCGTGCCGCCGGGGACGGTGCTGTACAGGATCACGACACCATCGTTCTTCGGAGCATCTTCGTAGTCGAACGGGAACGTCCCGTAGCCGAGCAACCCGTAAAGGCCCGCGGTGCCCTCCCTGAACCCAACCGTATACACATTGAGCGCCTTCGCGTCCCCGCGGCGAAGGGCGGTCTTCATTTCCGTCTGGTTGCCGATGCCGTCCTCGTAGTTTGAGGCGTATTCGAACCAGTTCTTGTTGGTCGTGCGGGTCGTCTCGACGAGCTTGAAGGAGTAGGATGTGTTCGCAAAGGCGGCGTTGAGAACGCGCATTTGATCAGCAATCTGGGAGTCACTACGGGAAGCATTAGGACACTTCAGTGCAACTTCAGTGGGATGCGCATAGTTTGACGCACGGAACGTTGCCGCCGGAAAGCTTCCGCGAGCTGCGGACGACATGCACGTATGTCGGGATGGTTACCCGCTTGGGCTTTTGCGCATCGGCAGCAAGCTTAAGCTCCGTCCGGCGCGCAGCAAAGTCGGCCTCAACGGCGTCCTTCTCCGCGGTGGAGATTTCGGTGCCACAAACACGGCTGAAAAGAAAAACGCAGCAGCTTCAGCATCGACGCTGAAAGGAATTGCAAAGCACACACGTGAGCCCGCGGGACGCCATCTGGCTGCCGAGCGCGGAGACGGCGCTGAGTGCGAGGACGAGTGCGCTGAGGGCGACCATGATGGGCCTGTGGGGAGTGCCAGTGACCTGCTCCGGCCCCACTCCGGCTTTAAAAGTACGGATGAAGCCAAGATGAAGCAGCCGGAGACACCGCCAAGTGCAGTCTCGGCAATCTCATGATAACATCGACTAAAAAACCGCTGCCAGAACTGCTGATGAGATGATACAATGATGGGATAACGGTTGTCCAATCGCGGGGTTTCGTGGCCGTTCGCAAGCAGAGGCAACTTCAAGGGCAACTTGAAGCAGGTTCATCGGCAGACGCGTCGATTGATTGACAAGACTTGGACAGGGCCGCCGGGTTACCGGTGGGAACCAGCGCGGGGCAGCGACAGGTTGCAAGACCCAAGACCCCCGGATGCTCTGGCCGACTTCCTCTAGGCTGAAAATGACGGCCCTCCCAAATACACGCAAGTTCGTGGAAAACACTGAGGCGGCATGCGAAAACAGTGTCGCAGCGCCGCAATATCCCCGTCAATTTGAATTTTGGAGTAACCGATAAGCGCGTGGATGGATGGAGGGGTGGCGGGGCGGGGCTCGGGCCAGGCCCTGAGGAAGGTCGAGCCGGGCCTTGGCCGGGCCCTGCCGAAGCGTAGGCCGTGTCGTAGGGGCAAAGTGTGGGCCAAAACATTCTCCAACATCTCGTCGCCGTTGGCGGTTTGCTGATCGGAACAATGTGAGGCGTAAAAACCAAACACGTTAGGTCACGGCTCATGCGCATTGTGACGCGACGTGTTTTCTTGATCTCCATCACCGTTGCTTTCTCGAAAGAAGACTCATGAGGTTGGCCACGGTAGCCTCTTTCATGAGCCGCAGGGGCATGTCGTCCGCCCGTGGGCAGTGGTGCAAAGACAAAGTGATGATTGGCATGGACCTATGGTGGTTTGACCGTTTGAGGTGAAGAGAGCGCCGGTGTGCCACGGCAGATAATGTCGTCAATACAACATCTGGATTCTGAATCTTATGAGTTCCCAAATGAAGCAGAAACTATGTATGAGGATCAGTCCTACTTCTGCACAGAAGTCATCAATTACATGTAAGATGCTACAGTAAGCATGCCGGCTCGATCGAGGACCATAACGAGCCCCAATGTCTCATCCAACGCCAACCCTTGAGGAGGACCGCGGTCGGCGTCCAGGCAGCGCGCCGCCTCACCCTCGAAATGCAGTTCCCGGAACTGGCATTCACCATCAGAGTCAAGAAACACGAGCGCGAGCTGTCTGTCGCTAGTCTTGCGCCATGTGTAGCTCGGGCCGTCGGGATGGGCAACAACCTGCAGGACATATCGCCCGGACACACCCGTCGCATGCGCAAGCAGCTTCGAGGGGTGGATATGGCATACCGACCGTGGGCGCGGGGCATGCGGCCCGGAGTCGCTCGTCTGGGACGTCGGGTCCGCCGTTTCACAGCCTTCAGCGCTGCTGCAGCCGGAGAGGGGTGCGGGCCAGAAATGCGTGAAGGAGAATGTGGGGCCATCTCTGTCGGCGTTGAAACCGCGCCGGGAGACGCCATAGACGCCATAGTCGGGGCGGACGACCAGGGGAGAGAAGTGCCACATGCGGTTGGTGTTGAGGTTGTGGCGGAGACATGCCTCCCGCTCTTCTTCGCTCAACAGGATCAACTGACTGCCGGAAGCGGGGTCGACAGAGTGCGAATCGACGTCGAGGGCAATGCTGTCCACGATGGCATCTCCACCAGAGGTTATGCTGAACATGCGTAGGCGCAGGAGACCGTCCGAGGAGACGTGAACGGATATAGACTGTGTATGAACGGATATGGACTGTGTATCCAGTTGGCCTTCGTAAAGCTAAAACACATATGATCAAGAGTTCTTTCTGAGGACCAGTACGAACCATGCTGCTCCATGGGTTGGGGATGCCTCGTACTGCCGATTCCCGGTCAAATTTCCAGTAGTAGAAGGCCCGGCCTGTGGTAAACCCAATAAGCTTGTCGTTGAGGAAGAAATTGGCGGGGTTTTGCGAAGCTATGCTAATTGGGGGAGATATAAACGCGTCGAAACGGATATTGGTATTATCGGCGAAGTCGAGTACAATCACAGCGAGGCTGGGCATGATCCTAGGGGGTGATATCAGCCGCCTACGCGGGTAACCTGCCTTGACTTACCCGTTGTCGGGCAGACGCACCGTGCCTCCCAGCATTGCTCGTCCCTCAACACTCATACACGGGTCGGCGACGACGACGACGAGAAGGTGTGGGAGCTTAATCGCGGCAACACGCTCCCCCCGTCCTCATGTCCCAGCACGAAATTGTATGATCGGAGTAGCTGACGGTGGCCACGAGGTATGTGCCAGGAATGCAAAATATAGGCCCCTGTCCTATGGAGAAAGAGCGTGTCCAGGCCGGACGCGGCGCGTCGGAGTGCCAGTTCCGAAGCAGCCGGTTCGTCTGGCGCGCCAGTATTTGGAGCCGGGCGAGTGGCAGACTCGATATACTCTCGTTCTGGGCAAGGGGAAGCGGGTGCAGTTGGGTGTAGCGGATACGGTGAACTGCGGTAATCCAAAGAGTGCGGTAGTCCTGTAGCGCGCGCAAGGCGCGACACGTCTACAATCGCGTTAGGTCGCCAACTTCGCGTTTGCGTGGGTGAAAAGGTATGTGCGTACTGCCAGAAAACTTATGAGGTCGCAGATGTCCAACTCTTGCCCCAGTCTGAGGAGGACGTCGTCTGGCCAGCCGGCTAAAGAGGTCATGGGTTGGCAGAAGAAAGATACGTTGTGTCACGGATCACGCGAGACTCCTTCGTGATGTGCTGTCACGTGTCACACTCTTTTCGACTCAGACTTTCATGGCGACGGTTCTCAGCTCCTCTTCAAGTTTGCCGCACTGGCCGGACGACCTGCTCCTGCGGCTCGTGAAGGAGCTGGGTTTCCGCGGTATGGGCAGTATATTGTATCATAAGTATTTTATACAGTGATGTTCATAAGGCTTAAGGCCTTAAGTCATAAGCCCTTACATAAGAGCTTACATTAAGGCTTAATTGGTGCCTGTCAGAAGCCTTAAGGGCTTAATGTCACATGTCACATCACACAAACTATTTTAAAACAACTGAGATGTCTTATCTTACTAGTGAAACTTGATATACAAGGGAAAAGCAGAGTTTTTTCACAAAATCTTAAAGCATAACTTTACATATGGGCCAGGCTTATGGCTGCAACACATACTACAACTGACCTACAGAGGGGTAGAGCTGCTACTAGTAATTCCAGCTAGTATGTGGGTAGCGGAGAGCATAATGTCAGCCTAATTGTGGTGGATCATTAGCTGTAGCTGCACAGAGGGCTTTCTGAAAATTTCCTTTTTAGGCAATTAAGTGCTTAAGCCCTATGGCTTATTTAAGGGCTTAAGGCTTACTTAAGGCTTAATCGATTTTAGAGCCTCAAATTAAGGGCTTATGAACATCACTGATTTTATATCTTTCCATATTTTTTTCATGTATTTTCTGATCCATGTTTTCATAATTGATTTCATCTTCATCTCACCTAGTACAACTTTAGGAGAGCCTGAATGCAACTTTTATTTGCAATGACAAGCCATAAGTAGGCTGCAACATTTTCAGTTGCAACATTTCCATTTGCTACTGCAACCTGAAAGTTGTTGCCTTCAACTTTCTTATTTAAATGCAAGATCAAATTGACACCTACAACTCTGGCTGCAATCACTGTTATTGTACTAAATAACATCTCAACCAAAAACCATGACGGCCATTCTCTGGTGCTGGATATAGTGTGATGCCGACGACATGGCCCTCATCAACACACTCCGCACGAACAAGGTGGCCTTCCAGACAGACAGCAGCTGGAAGCCCCAGGTCTGGCAACTCTGTGCGACAACCCTTGCTGCCTCTCCTGGCGCAACGAAGACAGCCGCCAAGTATCAAGATCACTATGGCGGGCTTACATCAGCAAAACCCAATTTTTCTGGGCCATCTGGTGCATCTGGGTACTCTGGGTGGTCTGTCCCCAGATGTCCAGAGAGCTGCCTGGCTCTAGACAGTTCCAGACATCTCTCCAGACAAGTCCTAGCCAAGTCCTAGACAGGCTTAGGTGCACATATACATAATTCTACTAAGAGCCTGTAAATGTTAACATCTAGATCATACATGGCCACAAGTGAACTGATTTAGTGCACTTTATCTCCCACCTGTGCAGCCCAGTAGCCACCGTGAATTATCGGGTCCACCCCGGCGGGTTGGAGCAGACAATTCACGGCCGTTTTTCTCTCTCCACCATAGTAATGAATAATTAATGAAAAGCAGAATGAATAATTACGAGTTCCAAGGCTTTTTCTCTCTAAGTCCATCGGGTATAGATAATTATGAACAATTCTGGCACTATAGGACTCGGACAACAAGATGTGACACTGGTATGTGACATCTAAAGGCTTGTTATACTCATCTATATTATACTATATATATCTAGTTTCAGCTTCCATGCTGTTACACACTGTTATATGAGGTCACAGGTGTGACATATCTCCCCAAAAGGAAATTTTCGCCGTTTGACTGTATAATCATCAGAAACTGTCACACATCGTCACAAAATCAAAGTTGTATGTTTTGACTATATAAACAACTTTCATTAAGTAACCTATGGTAGCAGCTCAATAAGTATGTTAGCACTGACCCATCACTAGCTCATGTATAACTGATAGGCCTCTATATCCATACCTGCTTGAGCTAAAAGCATGAATCAAGTACTAGCAGGAAGGGTCTCAAAAGCATTATTGATTCATAAGGTATTTGGATTACTATCATTTGATATGATGGCAATATTGACTATTCAGTTATGAAAAATTGAATATTTAGTACTTTAAAAATGTAAGGTGACCAACTTGCAAGTTTGGCTACTCTAACATAAAGCTCTGGTATGTATGCTCCGAAGTCCTAGTGAATATGGCACCAAGAATGTAATGCATTCATTTATCAGTGGCCTTTGATCTCCATCACCTCTGAAAGATAAGCATATATCACCAGCTAGCCTTGGTGGATAAAGCTGGGAGAGAGTTCATTGGGAAGATATACTATCCTACTATCTTTTGAGCTTCATCAGCTATGTTTTTCTTTATCATTATCTTCATTTATTCCCTCCCAAGAATACCTAAATACTAAGTGGAGCAGTATTTTGCTGATATCTTGGGACTACATGCATGGAATCTTATGATCCAAGTTGATATGGAACCATAGTATAGTCTACCACATCTCTATCCATTTGTAACCACACAGCAACTGTGAGGATCAGTTAATTCCCTGAGACCTTGGGTGCTATATATTCTAGGATGGAGATAAGCTAAAAGGGTGAGGACACCATTTTCTGGGAGGTGCATGAGACCCCTACCTGTAGATCTCAAATCAATGAGATTTGCAAAGGCCATACTATGGTGAACTCATCATTTTTGGGTTAGATAACACTGATAATGGTACTGTGAGAGATCCACATTAGCTATAAGGTTGATTCAAGTGCTGGACAGGTTTATTTGGGGGTCCATACAATCCTAAATTCATGTCTTAGATCATACTTGAAATTAATTTCTGACCAGTTGTAATAGCGAAGACACTCTCTTTTGCTCTATAGGTACCTACCCTCTCTTCAGCTACCGTCTGTAACACTTGCCAGAACCACAACTAATTACAGTACAGAGTCTGAGTAGACATCCAAATACCCCCATACATGCATCCAAATGTCCAGTGCTCAGTCTATAGACCCCACCATTCATGTAAACCAGTTCTGCACTCAACTCATCTCGGAATATTCACTCTAATTCAACCTCTAAGAGTATATAGAGATCCATCAGAGTATGTGGGTAGATGTATACACTTCATTTGCCAAGTTTTACATATTTGATCTATAATCAACTAGCAGATTACATCTGTATTACCGATATGATGTGCAGTACTATTCATTATTATAATGGTGAATAACAAGATTCTCCATTCATATAATATGGTGTGGGAAATTGAAGCTCATAGGGGGACCCCTTGGTTTGTTTCCTACCCTTATACCATTGGGGATCCCTCACTTCTAAGTGAGTTATTGGGATATTAGTGCAATAAGATATATGTCATATATAGAGGTAGATATGACACCTAAAATTATGGGGAGCTCCTATATCTATAATGGACATCCATTATAACATAGCACAACTTAGATTATGCTTATCCATGGATTCCCCAGTGAGATATCAAGTGATCATTGAGTTTGATCAAATTTGACACATGAAAACTAGAGAAAAACGGTGTAATATCATAGTCTCAAGATATAAGACCATGATCACATCAGATCATATGAACACTAGGTTATGATCTACCTACCAGTACAAGAATCATCTGACTTGATGCAGGATTGGTAGAGAGACTGCAGCATCAATGTAGGTGATGAAACATCATCAGATGATATAGCTACACTAATGGCATTTGATTGTGCAGGATATTGATCTTATTACTTAGGCACCCTTGGTAGTGCTTCAATCACCTTTATAGGTTATCTACTCAGTGATATTATCACTGTAATCAGTGTAGATCAGCCAATCATTGGTTAATGCCAGCACAATTATTCAGCTGCAACTATAGGTCACTTGATGAAAGTTGTTTGTATAGTCAAAATACACAACTTTGATTTTGTGATGATCTGTGACATTTCCTGATGATTGTACAGTCAAACGGCGAAAGTTTCCTTTTTGGGACATCTGTCACTCTATGTGACACATGTAACAGCGTGACTCGGGCGCTGAGTCCAATCCAAGTCTCTAGAGGCTTGAATTATTCATTATTATTCATAACATTGTACACCTGGATGATAGCCTCTTCGTGACATCACATACTAGTATCACATCTTATTATCCGAGTCTTACCATATCAAAATTATTCATAATTCTTCATACCTCTATGGACTTAGAGTGAAAAAACCTTGAAAGTTGGAATTATTCATTTCGCTTTTCAATAATTACTCATTACTATGGTGGAGAAAAAAACAGCCGTGAATTGTCTGCTCCAACCCGCCGGGGTGGACCCGACAATTCACGGTGGGTACTGGGCTGCACAGGTGTTTATCTCAGTAACTAGTTGTGGTCAATGAATCGATGAAAATCATTAAGTGCCAAGATTAGCAGATGACGTGATTGATCACCATCAAGATCCGAGTCACGAAAAAAACCGACACAGCCCCATCGATGGTTGCTTTCCTTCCCCATGTCGGCCCCCCACGATTCCCCTCCTCCTCGACAAACACTTCCCTCCATCCTCTGCAAACAAGGTCACAATGGGATGGTGAGTCCTCTCATCTACGTACGACTTCCGCTGATGTGCCATCTGAATTGAGCTGGACTGAAGACTCACAGGCACGCCTGACCGCCATTTCCATCTGCAGAGTGTCCCGGTCCGCTTCCGTATCTTGCGCTGACGCTTTCCCAGTGCTGCAGTGCTCCGCATCATCCATCACGACCATCGATTGCAACCAGTCGCTGTTCTCGCTCCCTCGTCACTGGGCATGCCGCGGTGTATAGAGAAGCTTTCTGGTGTGTGCTTGTCCCGCGCTTTCTCACCACCCAATTTACTATTCTGGACAGAGTTGCAATGTGTGGGTCATTGGCACTGTCCCGGTCATACACGCAGAGGGTCAAAGCCTGGTGAGCATGTGTGACGGAGAGCTGTCGAAGGCGACGGCTAATTCCGACAAACAGAGGGAGGCTCGTTGGT